CATTTTTATTAAATTTCTTTTGAAATAACTATTGAAGTGAATGTTAAAATTTGTATCGTTTATAGATTTTTATGTTAAAGCTGCTACGTCTTATTCTCTTTTAAGTTATTTTGTGTTCTAATTGGTAATCATGAAATTTGAAGAAAAAAAAATAATTGCCTATTTTAAAGCACGCGTGCGTTAAGGTTCATGTGTACCGCTTTTTATTCGATTTTAAATATTTTATCTTAGATATATTGTGCTATACATCGGCATTTAAAAAAAAGGGTTTTTTTTTTTTTCCTTCAAGGGAATATGAAAATTTGATTCTTAACCCTTTCTGCGGCGCGTATTAAACTCAGCGAAATCCACAAAATAAAAATTGATTTACTCACAAAATATCGAAAAGGTTTGCCCCTTTTTGTTTTTGGTAATCTTAACTTTTTGACAGCTTTTAATAACTGTTTTATTAAGTTAAATGTTTTTACAATTACTATAAATTTAATTTTACAACTAATGTCAAGAATTTATCGTAACATGAACCTGGTTTGATACACACCGATTTTAATGGCATTTTGCTAATAAAAATAATTAGTAACAGGAGGTCTTGAAATATTTAAGAAAGTGTTCATGTTCTTAATTGGTCTTCTTTTTTTTTCCATTACACTTTCCTAATTCTAAATATTTCAGCTGGTTCCTGATGATGAAACGGAAATAGAGGAATGGAAATAGAGATAATAAGGAAATAAAGATTAGTACCATTAAACTGAGTTGCTAATTTATAAAAAGTTTCTGCTTCTGAGAAGGAATGTAGCAAATTCCTAATGAATTAATTCAATATGTTTAAGAAACAGCTATATTGGCTAAGTTTTTGTTTTTGTATGCCTACGTATGATTTAAAAATCTGTTCACTTTTACGTGTATCCATGCACTTTTACAGTTGTCGTAATGCATGTGTTATAACATTTGCTAAGAATATGTTCTCTTCATAGTTGTACTAGTTATATCACAGAGATGGATTGAAATAATCTGATAAATAAAACGAAAAAAAAAACTCTAATAATTTAAAATATCCAAAATGTGTAAGTAGAATATATAATATATTGCATTAGTTAGAAGGGGTTAAGAATCAACGTGTTCGAAGCCTAGAGTAAGATAATAGGGTTTATTACTGAACAATGGCAAACCTTGAAAAGTCGTATTATGTGATAGATCATGATCTTTATGTTAATATTTTTGCCTTCTGTTTGGTAAATTTAATTATATTCTGAAATAAGTTTAAAAAAATTGTTGGGAAATGGCCTTCTAAAAAGTTGCTTTTTAGTATTATTGAGTAAATTTAAAAATTGTAGAGAAACATTTGTGGTTTGTTAAAATCTTTCATAATAAGCCGTGCAAATATTCTGTAGCATTCACAGAACGTAAATTAATTTTTAAAAGACTTAAAATAACGCATATACTTCTTTTTTTATCATGTGCCGAGTATTGAGCCATGGTGTACTGCTGCCATCTAGTGGTCAACATTGTAGTCACCTAACAGAAAAGTGTGTTTGAATTGAGCCTTTTGTTAGTGCCATCATTATTTTTCGAAATAAGCTGAAATTCCCCTTTAACTCCTGTTCAGAAACTCTGCAGCACTGTAGTAGGCTCTGCAGTTTATATTTTTTTAAGGGCTACAAAATTGTTGAGAGCAGAAACAAAAAAAGAAAGAAAGAAAATTAACTTCCTAAACTTATTTCATTATTTATTTGTTTGGCAATCTGCAGATAGATGAGTTAAAGAATAGTTTTCTGAAATTCAAACTAATTTTCTCTAATTAACTGGAATTTTGTTGTGAAAAAAACTTTTAAATAGCAAAAAAATCTCTTTTTTTCTTTTTAATTATTACTTTCCAAAATTTTTGAAGTTGCAAACAATATAATTTTTATCTACCGTATATGTGGATGCAAGTTTTGATCTATATACTTTTTAAATTAAGCCTTTTTTCTACAACAATATTTTTTAATTGTCTACATTATGGTTGCAGATAAATTTGGAATTTATAAAAATTAAGCTGCAGATTGACTCTATAAATTCTGTTATTTGGACTTGAGTATATTACCACGAATAAAGTCTTCCAAAATGGTACATGGCAAACAGTCGAAATATGTTTGTTTATCAATCTTTTTTCAAACAGAGGTCATATCTTAGTTTTCTACTTATTATAGTCTTTATAATTTAAAGCACATCAATTACTAAGTTCATATTATTAAGTTTAAGATTGCGTGACAGCATACAGCAAAACTTTATTTTTATTTAAAAATGCTTATGAATATTAATATTTTTTTTTAGACAAGAGTTCTCATTTTTAAAAGAAATTAAATGAACATCCATACATATATGAATCGATTGTATCTGGGGAGGATAAATTTTGAATTTCGAGGTGCGAAGACATTTTGTACATGAAATACAAGAATATTCCATTTATTTTTAAAATCTAATTAGATTAGTGTAAGTTTTAACTGATTGAAAATAATTTTAAGCAAAAACTATCATCTTGTTTCAGAATATATATATATATATATATATATATGTATGTATATCATGTGAAGTGTGTATAAAACGATGAGTAGCCCTTTTTTAATGTTAATTTTTATTTAAAAAAAAAAGTTTCATCGAAACACATATTTTAATCCAACTTTATTCTGTTTTAATTTAATGGAGTAAGAATTTCATTTTCTTCCACTCGTATGATGATTAGTTTAATTCCTAAATGGTAAGTACTGCGCATTCATGATATTTATAATTTTATACTATGGTATGAACTTTAAAATGGCCAATTGTGAAAAACAATTTCAAAGCATGGTGGGGAAAAAAATCCTTGAACCATTTTTGAGCCTCTTTGTGTGGTTTCATTTAGATTTATTTGGATTTTATTGAAAATAGGATTAAAACGAGAAGAGAAAAGAGAAGGGAAAATTCACTGAGATATGAACCCGGTGTCATAAAGGTGTTCAGAATCCTTAAAATAATTAGGCGCAATAGCCATCCAATTGAGGAAAAATGAATGTTAAATGAATTTAAACCTACTTAGGTACTAGTTAAATTTAAACGCGTAATAAGTGGCGCATTAAATAGTAAATGCGGAGAAGTCGCACAGAAATATGTAACGCGTGTAATTAACGCATAAAGGTAACGCGAAAAATATAACAGCTCTTTAGAGTTATGTACAACAAATTTTTTGCGTAACAAATGTAAAACGAATAACAATAACAGGTATAATGCGTAAATTACGCATAAGAAAGGTAGACTTGTATAAGTAACGGATTACGTAACGCATTGAGAAAAGTAAATTCTAAAGTAGAAAGAGAGTAAATTAAATAAACAAAATCAAATTGTTAAGCATAAAGCAAATTATCGCGCGAAAGAAAAAGATAATGAACGAGCAAATGTAACGCACTGAGAAAAGTAACGCAGCTTCATTACGTTTACTTTTTATGCGTCACACTTTATTTTTCCGCGTTGTTATATTTTACCAGTTAATTTTTCTTGAACGGTACTTATCCTATGCATTACTTTTAAATGTTATATTTTCCGAATTTATTATTTTTACGAATAATTTATTTATTTTTCTGCATAACTTTCAGCGTATGCTTTTCTTATGCATAATTTTGGGAGTTTCCTTTTCTTAGGCGTTAGTTTTACTTTAACGCGATACTTTTCTTTATGAGTTTCTTTTACGAATCTACTATTGTATTTCATTTTTTAAATTTTCTTATGCGTTCAATTATTCGTTTATTTATTTATGCCTTTACTTTTCTTTTACGAGTCAGCTCATCTTATGCGTTACTTTTAAACTTTTACTATACATCACTTTAACGTGTTTTCTTATCTTGAGCGTTATATTTTTCGCTTGACCTTTTTCTGCATTACTTGGCCTCATTATACTTTACGCTTTATATTTCTAAGCGTTGCTCTTTACTTGTTACATGCATTATATTTTCTTATCTGACCAGTTCTTGTGCACGATATTTCAGTCAATAATGCGCTTTACTTTTACATTTTGAACATTCATTTATGTCTTTTAAGTGTTATAAAAAAACTAAGCATAAAGGAATATATTACATAAAAGCAAAGGATGGGAAATGTAAACGTGTAAAAGTAAGGTTTAAGAATAGTAAAAAACGAGTATGAAAGTAAATGCGTAAAATAAACGAAATAATGAAAAGTAACGCGTAAATTATAATGCGTATAACGTGTAAAAGGATAAGTAAGACATAATTAAGCGCGTATAATTAATGCATTGAAAAGTAAAAGTAACGCTCAAAAATATTTCGCAGAAATAACGCATCAAGAAAAAGCAAAGCATAATATAATGCCGGAATAGCCTGGTTGGCAGCGCGCTGGACTCATGAGGGATTAAGAGGACAGGGGTTCGAATCAAGCCAGTTGAAAACTCCCCGTTTGATTCCATTGAATATTTATTTAAAAAAATCTGTCTTTTATAAAAAAAATGTCCATTTCTCCCTCCATAAATATTTACTCTAGAGTTACGAAATTTAATGCAGTTATTAAAAGTAACAACTAAAGTATTCGATACAAGTTACAAGCTCAATTGATTGACTTTCTGGCATAGCGTTTTCAAAAATACTTGTTTTCTTTCGTAATGTATTGTCGGTCTCCCAAACCTCTGAAAGCCTTAAATCTTATTGCTAAGTATGAAAAATCGCATGAACTAAACATCTCTAAAGTTATAAAATAATCATTTAAGTATTTCTTGAGAAATTTCAAAAAATGTCAAAAACTCAAAATATTGCAGGGCAGTGTATGTCAGGTGCAATGCCTGCTCGTTGAACTGACTTTTTTCTTTCAACATTTATCCAATATTATAGATATTATTTCATTAAACCGTTTCATCTAAATAAATAAAAATTTCCTAAAAATGAAAGAAAAAAAAAAGCACTTATCATTTCTCTTTGAATTCTCAGATAACGATTCAGATTGATAATCTATTAATTTGACGAAATATTTTGATAAAAGAAAAATGTTTCGAATATTTATCAGAGATAGCAATTTAAAGCGAAAATATTTTAAGTTGATTTGTTGTAGGTATTAAAGAACTTAGAAATGTGGTTTGTTATTCTGAGAACATTTTTCCTTCTTTTAAAATTAGTGACAATTGGAGCTCACTATAACAAAGGTATGAAGATTTAAAAATTATTAATCAAAACAGCAATTTATAGTTCTTTTCTTTTCGTCTACATATTTCATTTTCATCTTAATACTTCTTGTGTTCTAATGATTGGTTTTTCAAGTACTGAATGCCAATTTTAATGTTTTAAGAGTTCAAATAAACTAATTAATTAATACCAACTATTAATTCTGTTATCTTAGACGCATAAACATACATTTATTTACATACTTTTTGTGTCTTCTTGTTTACATGATTAGTGTTCGTCTACGTAATGATTATAGTCACGGTTAAGGTAATGTTGATGAGGGTTCTGCGGGCGAACACTTACCATTTCCGAGCACATTTGGCGTCGAACGGCTCCCAGCGCCAACTTCAGCGAACGCGTGAAGCCTTAACTTATAGCAGATAAATAAATATAAATCAATAACGAAAGTGCACATTTATTTTGTGCATCGTATGGTACTTTTCGTTTTGCGCAAGCATCGTTCTTGTTCAAACATCGCATGCAATCTGTATATACATGTGGAGGTGATTGACTGTATTGCAGACGTAATTTTGTCTGTACAGACCGACTCTTATTAAATTTTTCAGCACAAAATGCCTTCTGTACAGGTTCTGCCATTTTCACTTTCGATACGCAATGAAACGGATTCCTTATCGTAGTGTTATCTGAATTCGCGCAATTGCGTTCCTCTAATTCATTACACCACAACAAACGAAATGTTGAACTTCTTTCTGCATTCTGTGCAATTCTTATCAGTATATTACTTTCAATTAAATAATTATTGCCAATTGCAATCGCCGTACTCATTATAAATTAAATCCTACGTAATAATCACTCGTCATCGTTCATATTCATTTAGTTCACATACATATTTCACTCACTCTGGTTTCTTAAAAAGAACTCAAAAGCTCGTCTGGTATGGGAAAATGATAAATGAAATGTATATTCATACAAATTATTCATTCTGATGTCCATTGAAACGTAGCGCAAACATCCAGTTTTGTCTTACTTTATTGGGAAAAGAGATGAGTTTGGATAGCTATAACGCTTGGGGAGAGTGATTTTTTTACTCGAATATTACACTAAAAATGCTTCTACAGATACACAAGACGATGTTCAAAATTTAAGGACACTGAAGAACGTGAAATTCAGTGCGCAAAATTTAAAAAAAAAATGGAACACCCTGAATAACTTTTGATATAATGATTGAAATTTTACGTACCAGACACGAGTACCCAACCTCAAATATACAAATTAATTAGTTCTGACGAAATTTTAAACTACGAATTTAGACACAAAAACGCACCTACTCTGAATAAACACATCTTTTTTATGACGGATTCGGTTTCTTGACCTTCAAACTATAGAGGGTAACCGCAATCTGGAAAATATGGTTCTAATAGTTGGGCCAAGAAAGCGGTGGAAATTTTGAGCCACTTAATATTAATTTCACTTTTTTCATATTTCGTCATAGCCCGAGAATTTTTTAAGCTATTCGAACAGTTATAAAAAAATTTTATTCAAAGATAATTTCATGCAAAAAATAATATTTAAAAATTATAAATTTTTTTATATATATATTTTATTTTATAATGGTCGAAAAAAATTAAAATGTTAGGTATACAATTTTTATAACGTTTTAAAAAAGCAGTTCCTATGAATTTCATATGAAAAAATTCAAAATTTGAAAGGCTTCGGTAGAACAGTTCTCGAGAAATAAAATTTTAAATAAACGACATTTTTTATTAGACTACTTTTTTTAAAAATATATATTTAGTTAAAATAGAAAGACAACTTTTTTAAAGGAAAGAGAATGTGATATTAAGTAATGTATCTATAAGAAATTTGCCACAAAGTATATATACAGTGTCTGATCAAATTATTAGACGCACTATAAGATTCTATGTAAAATATTAATTATCAGGTGATACTATACTGCTTTATTATTTTTACGTGACTGAAACCGGTTAGCACTTGTTTATGTTCGTGTATCAATTCGTCAAATTAGACGATATATTGTATAAATATGGAATATTTATTATGTCAGGTATTATATTAGTATATTATAATAATTTGACCAAATTATTATACGAGCTGTAGTGTTTTAATAATTTCATGGTTTTGCACGAGTTTATATGCAATACTTTCATATTTAAACATATATGTTATGGGATTTTAGATTTTTTATATACTTCCTATTTGTATTTATTTTTAATTTATTGCATTACAGTGTTAACCAATTGATACAAGAACGTAAGCAAGTGTAAACCGGTTTCAGCCGCGTGTAAACAATAATGCTGTAGAGTATCACTTGATAATTAAGATTTCGCATAGAATCTGATAGTGCGTCTAATAATTTGGCCAGTGACTGTACATAAAAAAATTTAAGGTTATTTTCTGCAAATTTCTATTGCTAATCATTGTAGAAAAAATAATTTTTTGAATCTGTATTTTGTTTGTTTTCTAGCATTCGTTGATGATTTGTGCAATTCTGATGGAGTGTGGAACTTAGGATCTGGTAATTCCAATTCCTCTGGTGTATTAAGAACTTCAAAAGAACACGTTTTTTTAAAAAATAAAAATTGTACAATAATTATTCAGCCACCATTAGGATATGGTGTGATATTAAGTGTGAGGCTTCTAGACTTTAGACCGTACTATTCACCTGATTGCCAGAATTTTATCGAAGTAAATATTCATTCACTTTTTGAAGTTTCCTTTCCTGTAGTACATTCAGTTCCTGTAAAATTAAGATACATTAAAAATCAAAGGTTTTTCACCTTTTCTATGCTCAACACAAATTTAACAGCGAGAAATTTCGCAGGGCTAAAGAGCTTATTTAACACTAATAAACGCAAATCTTGCTTATTAAAACACTTAAAAAGCTTAATCCTTTCTTATTTAAACACTAATAAGCATAGTTCTTGCTTATTTAAACACTAATAAGGATAATTCTTGCTTATTTAAACACTAATAAGCATAATTCTTGCTTATTTAAACACTAATAAGCGTAATCATTACGGGATAAAGTGCCAGACTTCGGGGTCGGTATGGCTAAGTATACTACAATTGTAACTTTTCATAACTCTGAGCTATAAAGTGATTTTTAAAAATTGAAATTCCTACAACTTAAATCTACCACCACTATTTTAATTATATAGAATCCGTAGCAATCTTATAAAAACAACTGTTGAATTTTAAAGTTCAATAAAAAAAGACTAATTTAATAAAATGTACCAAGAGCTTTATGCAAATGGACGGTATCACATAACGAATTTCTTTGAATCTATTAGTTTATTCTTTGAAAAAGGAATAATACTCATAAAAGAGATTTGAAAACGGGAATCAAATGCTGAAATGGAATTCATTTTCTTAAACACGCATTTTAAGCTGTGTCCATTTTCGCAAACACTCGTTTTAAATTTTGTCCATCTTTGTAAAGTGCTTCAAGTGCTTCATGCAAATGGACGATATCATATGACGAATTTATTTGGATCCATTAGTTTCTTCTTTGAAAAACGGAATCAAATCTTGGCCCAATTTTGAAAATTTAATCCATTTTCTTAAACACGCCTTTCGAGCTGTGTTTTCGTGTCTGTGCTGTTCGTAAACACGCATTTTTCATTGTGTCCATATTTGTGAAGTGCTTCAAGTATTTCAAATGCTTTATGCAAATAAACGATATCATATGTCAAGTGCTGAAATGGAATCCATTTTATTAAATGCGCATTTCGAGCTGTGTCCATTTTCGTAAACACGCACTTCGAATTGTGTCTATTTTTGTAAACTGTTTCAAGTTTTTTATGCAAATGGACGTTGTTGTTCATTTNGAGGAGGGAAATCGTAGCTTCAGCTCTAAGAGCGGAGTGAACTAGCCCTTGTATTCTCTTTAGCCCTGATTGGCGACGATCTGGGAAACATCTCTGAGGATGATCCGAAGACATGCCATCACAATTTTGATCCTCTGCAGAGGGGATGGCACCCCCGCTTCGGTAGCCCGACGACCTGCGCGCGAAGTCGAACACGTTACGGTAGAACAGTTTAACGAGGACCAATACGGCACACCCTCGGTCCCTACGCAGACTGATCCAAGTGGTCACCCACCCGCACACTGACCGCAACCAGTGATGCTTGACTTCGGTGAACTGCTGGGAACCGTGTCTTAACGATCAGTCCACTGCGAGACATGCAAATGGCGATATCATATGACGAGTTTATTTGGATCTATTAGTTTATTCTTTGAAGAAAACGAATCAATTACTGGCCCAATTTTCTTAAATAGCTAAGTCCATTTTTGTAAATACTCATTTTAGCTGCCCTCAAAATAAAAAGCTCACCGACAAAAAATGCTGACGAAAAAACACATTTATTAATCTTTCATGTATGCAATTTAATGGAAATTGCATTCTTATTTTGTGAACTAAATTATTATAAAAATCAAAATTGTTAAAGAATTATAATCCTTTTTTTTTTTAATTTAAGTGCCTAAATAGAATCGAAAAGCGTTTGGGCGAACTTAAAACATTAATTAAATACTTATATCAAAGTTAACATTTTCGTAAATGAATCATTTTAACTTTTTAATAAATAATCTGTTTCGTAATGAAAAGAAATTATTCGGGTTGATGAGCAAAGCGATCAGGGGTTAGAGACCCAAATTTAAAGCTATTTTTTTTGGGGTAAGAGTCCCCTAGTATAGTCTAAAGTTGATTAAACTTAATGTTTAACTCAATTTAATGCATTTGAAAGAAGTAGTTTAATACCATTAGTAATTTTGGTCTTTCTTAATTATTTTTAAAAATATACATTTGTATTTCTACTGGTATAAATATTTTAAAAATAAAAAATAAATAAATACCTAAAAGATTGCTTTAAATATTTTTCTTAAATTGTCTCCTGTAAAATTTCAGAAAATGAAACAAAATAGCTGTAATAATTAGAACTCATTGTACTCAATAATGAGTACATAGGATTTTCTAATTTTACATTGTTTCAGAGCTAGTTTAACCCTTTCTAAGGCGGGTGTAAGTATACTTACCACCACTTTTTAAAGTCCATGGTGAACTTTTCTACCACTTTTAATTTAGGTTTCTATTTGTTAATTACTTCAGCTTTCTTGAAGTGCGTTTGAATAAAATTTGTAACCATTTGTTAGTTTAAGAAAACGTATAAAAGCTATAAAATACATAATTCCTTTTGAAGTTGGTAGCATTTATAAGATTTATTTATAAATAACGAAAAATAAAAGTCAATAAATTCCTAATAGGTCGTGCTAAATATACTAACTACCAAAAAAAAAAGGCATTAAAATTTATATTAATTTTTTATAGGCTAAATGAGTTTTTTTTCTTATAACAATTACTATTCTTATATCAATTTCAATTCCAAAAATGCTTTACCGTTACTAGAAATAAATGACCCTTTAAAGGGTTAAGTATAGATTTCAATTTTGCTCAATTTTGAAAAACCCTTTTTTGCAGTGTTTTAATGTTCAGCTAACTACAGAAAATGTTTTTTTTTATTTAAATTTTAATTTTATTTAGTATTTTCTTCAACTTTATGCATCACGCATGATTTTTCAGGTATCAGGAGTTCAGCTTTGTGGATACAGCGATGATCTGACAGAATTTCAATCTTATTTTACCGATGGAAAACCAATGAAGTTAAAATTTTTAACAACCAATGAAAGCGGCTCTGAATATCGATCGGATGTATTTTTTGTAGCAACATCTTTCGTAAAGTGTAAGTACATATTTTATTATTTTAAAATCTTCTTAAAGTTTTTGCGATATCTAAGAAAGAATCAATTTAGCTACCACTTATAAGACAAATTATGTATTTCTGAAAGATGTTAGCTGGAGAGTTTTTCTCGCATTATAAATAAGATAAAAATGTTTGAGTCAAAAAATATGTTATGAAAATTTTGTAAGAATACAATTATGAAAGAGAAAAAATGAACCGTAACGATGCTCTGTCCCAACAGCAGCCACATATTGTAATTTCTGGATTTGCAACAGTAAGCTGAAGAGAAAAATAATAGAGACATTTAGCGAGAGCCTTTCACAAGTTTTCGTACGTTACTGTTCTGCGCAGTATAGTTACTACTGTACAATCTTGGTTCTTTACAGAGCACAACCAGTGTGAATGGCCCTTAACTATGGTCTCTAATAAATCAAAGACAAACAACTGAAAAACACAGCAAAATGAATGAAAATCACCGTCAAAACCACAATTACATGTCCAGAAGGAAATTTTCATATGGTAAAAAGGGTGCGGATAATTTTTGAATTAATACTGTGATCTGTGGGACAAAATCATATAAATTTCCTGCATACCCTATAATGAAACTTTTAAAACTAATTTAGGGCACCCTATAAATACAATTGCGTGATTATCCTCTACGTTTTTCAAAGTCTTTATAAAAATGTCCTATGATACTTGACAGGAGAAAAAAATGTGTTTTGATTAAGATTGTTTCACTTGACAAGAAATTTTTAGTTTCTTACAGTTGTGAACAAAAGATGTTTGAATGTACCAATTCTCGTTGCATTTGGAAAGGCTTGACCTGTGATGGTCATAACAATTGCGGAGATGAAAGTGATGAATTTTCCCACGGAAACGCTAATTGCGGTAAGTTTCCTCCTCCTTATTTTGCAAAACTTCAGCACAGTCAAAGTGACCTCTATTTTCAAGAACCAAATTTATCTTGTATACAGTATGTCTCACTTAAATAAACAACCTTGATGATTTTGTGCCATTTGGAGGTGTAGCTTGTCTAAAACAAGAGCTCCCCTAGCCATTCGTCTGGATCCGTGGCCGTGACTATGGTAACGAGGTATGATATTTCAGGTAGGGGTGTGGGATCATTGCCTAGGACATCCGGTTGGCGAGAGAAAGGGAATCTTTTAGGTCTATAGTGTGAGCCCCAGGTTGAAAATAAGCTACCCTCCCTGAAATGTACTATTCTTGTTTCCATAGCAGCAGACGGCCACCGACTTTGTAGCGGGGAGAGTTCCTACCGTAGACAAGCTATACGTGTATCTCTACTGGTTCTTCCGGGGGGGGGATTTCCAGGACCCTAGCTATCCCACTTCTTGGAATTTTGCTACCTTTTCATTATTATTATTTACTACAAATATTTTTATTTGCAGTAAAATTTGTAAATTTTTGCAATTTTTAGAAATACCTTAAGCTATTTTGTTCTTTTAAAATTGAGAATAATAATAAGATAAATTTCTGCGGCAGTATTATTTGTTGCTACTGCTACAGGTCGCAAAGTCCTCCATGTTCCCATAACAAATCAATACCTCTGGGGGTACTGAATTGGAGACCGATCGTTCTCTGATTCAGGTCAAAATTACGATCTATGGATGAATGAGTGGATGTATGAATGGGTCCGCCTTATAAACAGGTGTGACGTATGATGTGGCAGAAGTCGAATTCTTGGCCATAGATGGCGCCACTGAAAAAGAAGAATCGCACGCTCTGCCTTAAATTTGCTCGGTTTCACCAAGTAGGCTTGCCCGTGCGGCAAGTGGCATTAGAACCAACCAACCAACCAACGCAAGTCGAGGGCTTCAAAAAGTGATTACTCAAATGCGAGATTCAAATGTTTCGGGTCGTAATAATATCGGAAAAAAATATTTTTATGTTTACCTTAGTAATTCATTAATTCTAGCCGAAGTTTATATGGATTTTTTTCAATCTCGTGTTCTCGAAATTTATCCGAACAGCGTTTCTTTGCAACAAATCTGAGTAAAAAAAGTAGTTATCGAGCGTGTATGAGAATTTAAGAAAAATAAAAGGAGCGTGCTGCGGTGCTGATAAAAGCGGAATAAATGTCACGTTTACTAGATTTTGCGAAAGTAACGAAATTTAAATGTTAGATTAGTGGAACTCGAAGAAAATTTTGTCGGAATATAAATTATTGATTCGCGAATCAACGGTCTTGAGATTCGCAAAATTCCGCGAATTCTATTCGGTAGTTAGCTGTAAATAAATTTGAGAAAATTAATATCACAACAAAATTAAAACGTAAGGTTTGCCATGTTTTGAGTGTTATCCTCCATTTGGCTCTACTTGTGTCAGTGGCGGACGTGGACTTAGATGCGTCCCTGCAAGATTTAAAAATGCGCCGTATCTTAGACTAAAGACAATTTTTTTAAAATTATACTTTGAAACAACGTTACAATTCAGAGACATTCGGGTATTTATAATCATTTATTTTATTTTAATTTAAATATTTTAATTTATCTATTTAAATTTGTATATTTTAATTTAAATTACTTTAATTTAAATTCTTTTAATTAAAATTATTTTAATTTAAATTCTCTTAATTTAAATTATTTTAAAATTAATTAATAAGGAATAGGCGGAATTCAGAATAAGTACTAAATTGGAACATCGTATACACTTACCACATTGAAATAAAATTAATCTTAAAAATATGAGAAAATAACTCACTATCTTACAATAATTATATTCGAAGTTTAGTTAAAAGTTATTTTTATTTGTTGAATAAATTTAAAAAATATTTTATAAAAAAAATATTTTTATTGTAATTTATAGGGGTGCACAACCTTTTTCAATGAAGGGCTGCATGTTTAAGTATTTAGACATGTTGGCGGTAATTATGATAGTATTTACGTAAACATCAATCAGTATTTCAAACACAATTCTTTTCATCAGTCAACTTTGGAATATATTTACATGAAATTAAATTCTTTTAAATATTTAATTCTTTTTTTATCATCTTAGTTCTTTTAATTCTTTTTTGTCAATCAGCTTCGTAATATATTTGCATAAAATTAAATTCGTTTAAATATTAAACTTCATTCAAAACTGAAAAATACCAAACTGTTACTTTTCAAAATAAAAATGTTTCCTTTTCGTCAAAAAATAGTTTTATCGAGAAAAAAAAATATAAAGATAAGAATATAAAAAATTATGGGGTTTTTCTTATGACATATCACGTAACACAAAAGTGCATTTTAAAATAAAATAATTCTAGAATTAAAGAAAAAACTAGATAAATATTTTATTGAGCAACATAAATGCAAATTAAATATTTTAATTAAAGGGATTGTATGGGTTTAAAATAAAACAAACGCATTATATTTCAAAATAAGATTCAACATTCAGTTCAGTACATTTTTAACTTTAAGACATATATATTTAGTAAATTATGAGAAATTTTTATGAGTGTTAATTCTTAAAACGGCTTTTTAAATCTCTTTTTTTTAAGCTACGAAAATAAGAAAGCAGTTTAAAAATCCACATTCAAATTTCACGTTTTGTTATAATATTGTATTAAAAATATCGAAATTTAAAAAAAGATAGAAAAATAACATGGATTAGCAATGAAATCGTCATAAATAATGCACGTCAAAGGTGATGATTAAACTACCCGATTCGAAAATCGCAAGTAGTTACAGCACCGAATTAAAAATTATAAGGATTTTTGAAACCCCGTGAAAAAACGCAGCAATAACTGTTGAAAAAACGATTCAAAAAAAAAAAAAAAAAAAAAAACCCCTCTTAGATTGCGATGAAATCTGCGCAAATAAAGAAAGTATATTGAAATGCACGCGTAGAGTGCCGTATTACTAAATATTAAAAATATCGAGATTTTCAAAACCATGTAGAAATGCATAGTGCCAAAAAAAGGAAAGAGAAATAGTTTGGATTTAGGATAAAATTGACACAAATAAGGCACGTCAAAAGTGATTACAATTTGCAAGATCGGAAATTCGCGAGTCATTACATTATCGTATTAGAAGGATCGGGATTTTAAGAAACGTGTGGAAATCCAACAATAGCTTTACAAAACACGATCCAAAAATCTTTTGGATTAACTATGAAATGGACACAAATAAACAGCTTCAAAGGTGATTACTATAATTTGAAATTCACGCACCAAAATTTTGTCGTATTAAAAATATTGGGATTTTTAAAACTAGAGAAATTCGTAATGATAACCACCGAAAAACTACGTTGATTTAGATTTTGCGCGTTTAAAACTCAAATGCACAATTCAAATTTTTTATTTTCCACAAAAAATAATAAGTTTTTTTTATTATCATTACGTTCAGGTGCTGCCGAGGGCCACACATCAAGAGGGCGGCTGCAGGTTGCGCATCCCCTATGCAGTGCATTTATGAATCATGTGCGCCCCTGCGCGGCGGGGATGTTATTTACGCCACTGATTGCTCAAATATCACTGTTTGTTATTTTTTGAGTAACATTACAGCATGTTTGCGAAGTTTTTCAAATTCGTTTGCTGTTTGTTTCGTTTAAAATAGAAAAGAACGCGTTATAATGTAACTACAAGTTAGCCCGCTTTCTCAAACTTAGGTGTAAAATTAAATCGGAAGTAGCTATCTCCACCTGTGCTTAGCTTTATACGGTCAACCATCCATACGATTAAGCATTTTTGAATGCTGTATTTAAAATGTAGTTAGCTAATACATGTAAACGAGGTTCAATTTTAGGTATGATGTCTCCTGGTATTATTGCTGCTATAGTAGTTGGATCAGTAATGACATTTATAATCCTCATTATTATACCTTTTGCATGTTGCCGTCGTCGCCGTAGAAGAAATTCTTTACTGATACAACCTGATGATACAAGGGAAGAACAACCAGAACACACACAAGATCTACCACCAGCATACAAACCTTAATAACCGGATTTTGTTGATCGAACAAATCCTTATAAATGTCCTTAAAAACGCCTTGTTATTCAAATAAAAAAATTAAACCAGAATAATGTTTTCTTTCTTAAAATTACTTTTTTTTCCATCCATGTCAAAGTAAAAAAAAAAAACAATACATGTTCTACGTTCATTAAAGTTTGAAGTGTTAATGACTCCTGAACGCTTTCTTTTTGTATGTAAATTTCATTAAACATAAAAACTTCTATGGCCGAGCGGTATCGCCGGTCCAAACGCTCTGTTAAGCGTGGAGGTAGCGGGTTCGAATCCCGCCGTAACCCTGGATGTATTCTTTGTGATGTCTTTCTCTGAATTGTTCTATCTGTATTTTCTACTTGACAATGACTTATAAGCCTATATATTGAGCACACAAGTCAGCAAATGTATGTAATTTCAATAAATCAAATCATAAATAAAAACTTCTAATATTACTAAATACGATGTTCTAAAAATACAAATCAGGGAAGATAAGAAAGCTATAACAAAGAATTAATTCTAAAGATTTAATATCAGCAAAATAGTGGGAAAACCTGGTAGTAGATTGTATTGTGTGTTACAGGTATATGCATATATATTAAAACAAATATTTTATGGTTCCTAAATTTGTTTATTTTTACACTTTTTGTCACATGTCCTTCTGAAAGACATTTTATTAGGCAACAATTGGTAAACTTTTATCACTTGAGAAATAGTATTTTATTATTGTTAAGTTTTTTTTCTTCCTGTTTTTATGCCTTCATAAAGTGATTGTCTACAGGGTGTTTCGTATAGACCGCTTTTGAAATCTATATTTAGATCCTTTATCAAAAATGGAAACAGAAAGTATATCCATCGGTGGTCGCAAATCACAGTACAGAAAGGCGTTATGTAATTAACATCAAAACAGGTTTAAATGAACATTGAAATTTGAGGGTGCTTTAAATAGTTTTCTTTTAACTCCTTTCTTCCGCAATCAAACCTCTATCGTAACGTTTATTACGCGTCTTCCTGTACTGTGATACGTCAAATTACGATAGTGTTTTTCTTTGTTTAAATATTAATTTTCGACCAATCCGCATACTTTTTTGCTTTCAGTTTTGATAAGAATTTTTAAAATACATAATGAGGGTGATCTTTGCGGAACACCCAAAAATAGATCTGGCTTTACCCTCGTCACACTGCCAGTCTCTTTGAATCGTTTCTCTATCTTTACGATGAATTGCCATAAAGGATGTTCATGATATAGTTGCTGGTAACGCTCTTGTCTGGCCTCTACATTCGCCGTAAGTTAAAAACATCTCGCAATACTCATTTATAGAAAATATCGAGTACGAATGTCAACATACGAGATCTCTCAATTTTACTGGTGTCTGGCGCAGATGTATAACGTGCCATATTTATCTGCGCAATGTCGAAATTAGTGTAATTCGAATACCGAATGTGCGTTGAGTTAATGCACTTGCTAAATGATATTTTATTTTATTTTATAACCGTCGTTGAACAGCCGACCTAATTTCATGGGTTTACGACTACTTACGTTCAACTCCGTAGCCTTGTAATTTTGAACCAATCCAGAAGACAAGGAAACTCCTGGATCAGTACCCCCAGAGGTATTGATTTGTTGTGGGAACATGGAGGTGTTTGAGACTCGACAGATTTAACGTGCATCAGTCACCATTTACTACACGGGGAGTCTTCGCTAAATGATATTGCATCACCTACTAATTTTATTATAAAAGTTGTATGGGCAGCTTGCACCAGAAGGGTCTTGAACTATGGACCTCTCGTATAATCACGCACGTTACCACTGCGAAACAATAAGGGATACTCTGGATTGTGATATTTTCCCCGCGTTTTTGGGAGTTGCAAACCAAACAAATATGCATTTTACGCCCTCTATTTCTAAGACTAACTTGGAACTTTTTTACAAGTCGGTGCTACAAACGATTTTCTTGCGTAACGCATGGCTACTTTATTATGAAGTGGGGTATAAACCCCACTTTTATATGTATAGCTCTTGTCTGTCAGAAATTATTGGGGTGACAATGCACTATAGCAAGCACACTAAGATACAGACAAAGCAATTAATCAGTCAATAATAAACCTCGGTTATTACTAATAACCAACTAAGTGGATTAGAGTAAATAATCTATCATAATTTATCACATTTATCGGTTATTGTTAATAACACCGGGGAACAAATGTTTCGCTACATTTATACAAATACTTGATCTTGTCTAATTCTGGAGAGGGGATTTTCAATGGGATATTAATTTTCCTCTTAAAGCTGCAGAATTTTTTTTAATTACATCTTTAGTCTATTTTTTTTGTCAAAATACACAAGTTTAAAAACATTATATATAGCAGGGGGTTGCATAAATGTTGAGACAAACTTCTAGGGGAGTTAAGGCACATCATCAGGATTAAAATTGCATAGGAACCCATATCCAAAAATCTCGTCGTAAGCAACTAGGGAAGCCTCACTATTATGAACTGTTCAGAACAACACATCAACAAAGTGAACTCTTAAAGCTATTATTTTAAATAAAAACATAAGTCACATAATCCTTTATTTTTTTTAACTCTACTAATTTCTGCAGACACAGATTTATTATCACAGCACAAATATAAAAATTATGTTAGAGTTGAAGGTTCAATAAATTATGCACAATTATTTACACTAACTAAACTTGATTGGCAATTATTAATAATTACCGGCTAAGGTGATTAATGGGCATATTTTATCACATTTTCCAAAAATTTCCACATTTATTAATAATTGCCGGTTATTATTAATAATAATAAGATTTATTACTTTAACCATAATATACAAATAGTAGTACCTTCTGTAAAGGACAACTCTAACTAAAAATACCCCCTATATAAGGGACAATTCTATTAATTTTGGACCCTTTGAATAGCAGCGTTAGTGTATTTATCCCTTCATAAGGTATAAGGGACACAGAAAAAAGTAAAACAGAAGAATACAAAATAAAAGAAATACAAAATAAAAATTGAAATAATCTTTGTTATATTATTGTTAGCATGTACTATTTTGTTGTTAGTATGCCTATCTCTCACTTTTGGTGTGATATTAGAAAAAAGCATGTCATGATGCAATCCATAGAAATTGCACAGTTAAAGAATTTGTGTATAGAAGAAGGTAGAAGATGGCACAAAACCCAGGAAATGCTTTAGTGGTATAATGGGGAACAGGGATTAAAGAAAATGGTCAATAACTGGACCATCCACTAATAATGAAGGGCTGCCGAATTTTGAATTCGGCAGCCCTTCATTATTAGTGAATCAGAAGACTACGTCAGAAGACTATTTTCCTCTATTGGAGTAAAAATATCTTTTTAGGTTATACAATGTATATGTACAAATTAGTGGCTATTAAAAAATTGTTTGTCAATTGTCACTTTTTTGTCGAAAATGCACCCTATGTGCATTTTATAATTATTTTTAATAAATATTATGAATATTTTCTAATATTCAGAAAATTACTTTCAATGAAATTTGTTTCTTAAAACTTTTGTTCATTTTAGAAATGAACTTTATAATACTTATCATATTCTTTACATTATTAATATCTAGCTTTGTCCTTAAATTCTTGGAACAGTTAAAAATGCTACAACTAGTCACTGATCAGCAGCTAATTTTACCCTATATGTGACTGCCAACAACTAAGTTTTTTGAAAAATATTTTATAGATTGGTAGACAATTAAACATCAAAGATTACAGAATTTTAGCAAATTTTGTCAACATTTTAAAAGCTTCATCACAGAAGAAATGGAACGAAGTAGCTTACTATATGAATTTTGACTAATTCATGTGTAGTGGCGTGGAAAATAACTTTAAATCAAATTTACTAAACAAAGAATCATTCATTGTAAAGTTCTGTCGATTGGCCAATCCAAAAGCGCTGATCGACAGATATTACTTATCAAAATTCAGGCTTTGTTTACTTTAAGAGATATTGTTTTAGTTGAGGGATGGTTCGCCTGGGGGCAGTGCGGTCACAGTGTAGATCATGGACAGGGAATTAGCAAATATATTTCTGTAACATAATTCACAAGTTGGTAATTTGCTTATATCTGTCTTCTTAGTAGTTAATATTAAGCATGTGGTTGTTGGCATCAATGTTATGTAAATTAGGTAACAGGATAAATATGACTGGGTGTCCGTTTCTTCATCTCTTTTTTGTCACTCTCCTTTGCCTGTTAAGCTGCAGTGTTCTGTTTCACACTCAGCAGCTCTGTTTGATTAAAGATGAGGTCCTGGAGTTTTTTGTCATTATGCCGTTGCCCGTGCGCTTTCATTTTCCTCTATTCTGCAATTTTGATAAGCTGCAGTGCTTTGTGCAGCAACAGTAAAGCGTTGGCAGTGATCCAATGATGTCCTGACCGATGAACTTTGGCAACAATGATGCTATGCCGGATGATGTGTTTTAAGTTTCAACGAATGTTATTGAACTTTGCTGCTAACTATTGAGTCGCCATATTATGCCTTGGAAAGTTTATCTATGCTGTACCATTGTGAACTGCAATTGTCTGTAAGATGTCAAGTCGACTCTGTGTTCCACTTTTTATTTGAATGTTCGAATCTACAAATAAAATCTCACTTTTCTACATTTCCTGTTTTAGTTTTACGTGCGGTATGTCACAACGTAAAAACCTAAAATTTGCTACCACTAGAAGAAATTTTCCCACAGAGGGTAGAAAAGTTGGCAGCCCTGGCGATGTTATATGGAGAATTTCTTAAAACTTATTTTCATAGTGAGTCAAATAGCAGTGATCGAGAAAGCTTTTACGAGGCTCACAATAATTTTCTTAATAAATCATTTTTGTATTACTTTTATAACAATTCAATAGCTTTGTTACCTTATGCGAAATATCTTTCCAGATACATATGAATACCCTTCACAAGTAGTCAAATAAGTGTCACCCAATAAGGGTGACAAGGTCCGATCAGAGACTTTCCTTTCCTTAAAATATGGGTGACGCGGCAGCCAAAGTGTTAAAGGGAAAAATGATTGTGTCCTTTATTAGGAGGTACTACTGTATATGTGTGTATAGATTAAATATTAAAAGATTACTTATTTTCTTTGAATATATATAAATACACACACGCACATACATATATGGCTGATTCTTTTTAAACATGACAATTCGGATCAAAAAATTTCTTCAAATTTCAAGTCTTCAAAATAATCTAATTTTTTTTTGTATAATTCTTTAGTTACATTTATTAATATCTTACAGACAGCAGTGTAGTTTATAAACATTTGCTCGAGAAAAAAAATAAAATAGAAATTCAAAAAATCTTGAATGCCAGGAAAATGACATATTAGCTTAGAAGTTTAAAAAACAGTCATTTTAAGTTAATAGTAAGTAACTCAACTTAAGCCTTTATGTAGAGATGGACCATAAATTGCTTAAATTAATTATTTTTACCCACTGTAGAAAGAATCAAAAAAATTTTTGTTGCTGATATGTACAGAATAAAACTGTGTATAATAATCAATCATTAAATAAATAAATAACTTTGATTACATCCAAGCATATAACAATCATACATAAACTTGGTATTAGGTTATTATTTGCTTTCCCTCTTTACAATATACTGTTTAAAAAGTTTTCTGGTAACACGTCAATGTCTTTTCATTCATAAGCTAGGAAAATGACAGCCAGGATAACGACAAATTTGCCATTTTATAGAATTTAACCCTTTGGCCTAAGACGTTTACATTCCACAGAAAACAACAGGATTTCTAGAAATAACTCAGATAAATTTATGTAGTTTATGTTATTAATGATTTCAAGAAGACAGGAAAATGACAACATAAAAACCTACTCACCTTGAAAAAATTTTTGAAATAGATTCTGAACCAAAAAGTTGGTTCTTTATTCATGCAACAAGACATGTTCAGCTAAGATGGTATCTAATCAATCTATTAACATAAGATACTGATTGCTGGCTCTATTTATTTTAGTTATAAATCACTAAATAAAAGTAGCCAGGAAAATGACAGATTTTCATGTGACAAACAAATTATTGACAGAGAAAATTATGTTAAACAAAGTTTTAGTAAATAATACCCTCTGTGTATATTCTAGAAATGCTTACATCGGCTGAAATAAAAAAAAAATTAGATTTTGAAAAATGTATGGGAAGTTTTGAAGCTAGTAATTATTGGAAATATTGTTTGTGACATGCCAGGAAAATGACATTTTGATATTCAATTAAATTTTTTAAGTATACTAAACAGTCAATGTTATTGCAAAGTCATTTTAAAATGCTAACAGCAATGCTATTTATTAATTTTTTTAAAAAAAAGTTCTTTTAGCATTATAGTATTAGATCTTGGAGCAAGGGACAATGAATTGTCACATTTCGTGAGAATCACATATATATATACACATACAGATACACACTCACAACAGGGTTGTAATTAAAGTAGTGGCAATGTAATCCTGAAAGTCAAAAACCATTGAGCATGCACTAAGGAGGAGCAATGAGGTAGTGTCATTATCAATAAATAAAGTGTATAAAACAATTAAGGCAGTTGCTATGCAAGGAAATGGATCATTGCTGTCATCAATAGCCTTGCCATCAGTATTTTTTGGCTTCCAACAATTATATTAAATGAATGAAACACTATTTTTATTGTAAGTTCATTAAATAACTTTTTATATTTATGTTGCCAGTACTTTACATACAACTCTCATACAGATACATACACTACTAGTGCACCCTTTGTACAGTGTTGTTGTATAGAAGCCTAAACACTGTAAGAAAATCATTCAAATTTTATGTACAGCAGAATGAAGTATAGGAACATACATTTTCACACAAATTTTAAAAAAGGAGAACATTTAAGGGAACTTAAATATGAAAATATCACTTTTTCATCAACTTGTATTACAAAATCAATTTGTAACTTTTACAAGGATGTTTATTGATTATGTTCAACATACAGACATATTTTTGTATGATTCATAATTCAAATCCTGTTTTATACTTAAAAATATAACTTTTTAATTAAATATTTGAAGAACATTTTGCAATATATAGTAGAAAACATTGCAGACTGATTAACAATTTCGAAAGATAAGAGGGTGCCAACATCATATTATTTATCTGGGCATACACGAGGTTTTCATACAGGGCAATTTCTGGCCAATCATAGTGGGCAACTTTGTGATGCAACAAGTAGTTTACTCAGGCTTTGACTGATGGAGTATTGAGGCAATTTTGCATTCAGCCCTAGAAGATGCAACTTTATCTTTTAAGTATCACTGCAAGTAAGCCTGATAATGCTGTGATTGTTGTCTCCTGTGGAGGGAGGTAAGACAAACATTGATTATACAAATCACCTCCAGCAGTATAAATACTGAAGCCTTTTGACACTACAATGGAGATTGAATTATTTGCATCCTAAAAATTGCTCTATGCTACTCTAGTTTTCAACATCAACTTAGTGGTATTGACTTTCCCCAAGTACCAAGCTGGTGTCAACAGGTTGTGAAACATAATCTAACCAGTAATCTTCTGAAGTCACATATATCAATATAGTATACCAGTGGGTATTTTTATTTGTGAATAGATCTTATGTTAGGTTAATGTGGGGAACTAGACATACACATATTTGAAGAGTAAGGTATTGTATAAAGAGGGGTCAACAATACACCCCAGCAGTGTTTGCTTGTTCTAATAGATCAACTGTCAGATCAACCTGGCGACCCAGTCTGCTCTCATCTTCTGTGTGTTGACAGTCCTGCAATATAGCTAGGTGCAAAGATGCCGAAACTTTGAGTCAACTGGCTGTCCAAAGTGATAACGAATTCTACCATTAAAATGGATTTGAGTGATTATAAGGAAGACATTGCCCTTTTGATGAAAACCACAAGAGTTTAATGTGAAACATTTGTGAATCTAAATACATCTAAACACACTTTGCAATTGTTTGTTTTTTACGCTGTATATTTTCTGGAGTATGGAAAAATATGGAAAGCTCAGAAAGATTATAGACCATTTATTTGTTGTGCCAGTCTTGAAAAGTAACTAAAAAAGAAGAGAATTTCCAATTGATATTTTTATGATGAATCACAAGAATATTATAAAAAATTGTAGGGAAACTACACATATTTACAAGCCAGTTTTTTATTCAAAAAATAAGGTAGGCTTGAATAGTTAGTATTTTCGATTTTGTTTAAATTTTTAGGACATGCTTTTTATGTAAACTATAAAATAATGATTTTTATTTTTGCAAACATTGTGAACTTTGAAATATTCTTGTACTTCTTATATTTTGTATGTATCTTATTAATATACTTAAACTTCTTGTTGCAAAAATGACCCATGGTATTAACAATTAATTAGTAATCAATATTTCCTAGTAGGATATAAATACTTACAGTTCACTCTTTGCACAAAGGTCATTCAAAATTCTACAAAAAAAACTTTTTTTTTTAAAAATTTGACCATCAAAATCCACACGTGCCAACAGTGAACCATATTTCAAAGAATACATACTAATGAAAAGTACCTAAAAAGAATAAGATATATGTCATTAGACATACATGAACATTTGACCTTGAAAATGAAAAAGGCTGAACCTTAACATAAGTTACATGGTCATAAACTGCTTTTACCTATAGAGATCAGACAGAAAATTAGCAGGAAAAGCCTTATGTATAGCAGAAACAAAATAATTTCACAGATTAATTATTCAACTTCTACTTTTTTTTTTTTTGAGGTCAGAAACAGAGAAGTTGAATGTGGAAAAGCGCAATTAGGGAAATGTCAGAAAATGTTTTATAAGTTCTGGTTTAGGTCCAATATGGATATCAGAAGTTTACTCTCTGCCTTGAGGTGAGTTTTAGTCCCTATATTGAATTTACTTAATAGGAAAGTGTAAGAAATAGAAAACTTACAGATTGTTAGCCAGGCAAGTGAGATATTGTTACCCATGTAATTTTCACATGAACTAAATCCCAAGTCTATAGGATAGTTAGTTTAGAAGTTATAAGGGTTTTATATATGATACAAAAATAACTTTTTTAAATTCATAATTATAAATCATTGTAACTTAGAAACTGTTCAGTCTATCCACTTAATTTTGATTAGGTTGGATAAAAACTGCATTTGATTAGATTGCATAAAAATACATGAAAAAAAGTGCCTCACTTGTCTATATAGCTAATGTAACCTTGTAATGTAAACTCACTTGTCAAAGCTAATGCAAACTTTAGAGCTAATCTACTAAAATGTCACTTAAAATTAATTATATCTTCACTTTATATATTAGTTATGTAGCTTTCAAAGTAACAGTTTTCAATCTTTTGAAAATTGAAAAATAGCAGAAAATTATTTTTCATAGAAACTCAAAGTTAAATAAAATTGATATAAATAAATTTACAGACAAAAAACAAGGAAAGTTTCTCGCAAAAATAAAGTTATCTTGACTTAAATAAAACCCAAAACCATAAACTTCATGAAGAAAATGTCTAATTTATTAACAGTTATAAGGACTGCAAAGCATAATTGTGCCTCATGTAAATTTGGCAAATTACACTTTTCAACCACATGTTAATAATCAAATTATCAAATAAGGCATTTGCCAACAAAGACATAAACTATAGTTTAATAAACTTATATATCTTGGCTATTTAATGAAAATATAAAATTTTTTAATGAAAGTTGAAAATTAATTTGCATAAGTTCATTTATAGCTAATTGAAAACAGGTAAAATAAAGTTTTTAGTTTATAAAAAATTCTATGAAGTGATTTAATGATAAAAAGTTAAAAATGTTAGTTTACTTAAATTCTCATTAGCTATTGGTTTTTGAAGGGGATTTCTGAAATTCAGAATTTATATCCAAGGGGAAATACCTTAAAAACTTTGCATATTTATTAAACAAACTTTGCTTATAACAGAATTATTTGATGCTTAGTAAATGGAGGTTTCTGTTGGGAAATCCTTAATCTCATTCTGCCTAAATAACAAGACAGACATCCTCTTTTCAAATTGTATGAATATAAATATATAAATTCAATTAACATAAATTGTCTTTCTGAAAGAGCCGTGACTTAAATCTTAAAAAGGTTCTAAGTTTCTAAAGATTATTAAAAGACATACTATAAATAATTTCGTCATCTGAAAAAACTTCTTGAAAGGCACCTCCAAGCCTCATTTGTGTTATTATATTTATTTTAATCATCTACTACTAGGGCAATTCATTACAAAAAATTTTCCTAAAGAGCATAGTTTGTTCATAAAAAAGACATGAGAATAAAAGAAGGCTAAATTCTGAAAGGTACTGTACCTTCTGTACCTAGAACTTAGATTAACAAATGAAGAATGCCATGTCAAAAAATTAATCAGGTGTTTCAATGCAAAGTGCAGGTACTACAACTCTCAGTTCTGACTGAGACGAAAGACTTTTTTTGGCACATGGTACTGGCTGAGCAACTGGTTCTTCAGGTTCATTACTATGTAAACTGTAAGATATGTTGCCATATTCTTGCAAAAGAGGACAAATCCCTAATAAAAATTGGCAAAAGTCTTTCCTTATTCCAAACCACCCTAAAATATAGACAAAAAGAATCATGTATATAAAAATACAGATTTATACAAAATGAAGAGGAAGAAAAAATTATGATAATTGATCACAAATAATGAAGATAAATTTTTTAAAAAAAGAAACTGAAGTTGTGGAAAGAATGTTAAGGAAACAGAAAAATAATTTTGAATTTTTCTCATTTTTTAATGCCAAAAATCTTGGTTCTCTATATTACAGACGGTAGAGCAGCTAGGTTTAATGGCGATTGGGAAGCAAAAAGTCCAAGTGGAGCCTCTGCAGCAATTGCCAAATATGAATAAATAACTACACTGATTTTTTTTACAAATTTCAAAAATTTAAAATTATCAAATTCTGAAAATGTAAAGTACTATTCTACATTTTTCTTATATTGGTCTTTTTCATTTATATGTCCCTTCATTGCAGTCCTAGTTTATTCTTAATCCATGCATTGTTAAAATAGTTTGCTTACACAATGATTATTATCAATATATATCGCTAAACTTATGTAATCATGTGGCATTTTTTTAATAATCGATTTTAGATTTAATCCAGAAAATAGTTTAGTAACAATCTAAATCAAAAAACTACTTTAGTTAGGCTTCTTTTAATTTTTTTTGAGAAAAAAAAAAATAACAAGCATTAAAAAATTTTCTTCACCTAAAATTTGAGAAAAAAAAATAAGCAGAACCATATAAAGATTTAAAAAAAACTTAAAAGTTATTAAAATGATAGAAAACCAGGGCCCACTATTTTGAAAAAGCAATTTTATTTTGATTTATTAAAAACGGTTAGGTCATTGAAAATAATTTTCTAGTTATATCATTAGCAATCAAAGGGGGTAATTTTAGGGATTACCAGAAATAAAAAAAAAAGCTAATTAAAAACCTCCTGTAATGTGAATAAATTAAATAAGGAAACAATTCTAAGTAAATGTCATAAATCAATTTATTTTATGTGTTAAATCAATTTATTTAATTTATATATAATCATAAAGTGCATACAGAGGTTAAGTCAAAAGTAAGACTAAGCACAAGCAAAGCTTTATTTTCAGAACCTCTAAACTAAAACTCAGAACTAAAATTATTTTATTACTCAGTGCTCTTACTTTTTTACCAGACATTGCAATACACTATCTTCATTGTCTTGCCAGCATTGGCATGAGCAAGTGGTTAAATGAATGAGCTACAATTGGTGTTTGATGATAGATAGGACTGAGAATTTGTCAGAGGGAGGCAGCAATATTTTACAGTATTATTAATATCTGATCAATAAACAATTTATAAAATGTATGCATGACAATTAAAAAAATATTTATTAACTATAAGTGATTATTAAGCCACGATGGCTCAGGGGATAGAGCATTTGCCTTCCACTGAGGTGAACCGGGTTCGAATGTCAGTCGATACGAATTCCGCATCCGGCTTGCACCGACCACAGTGCTGACGTGAAATATCCTCAGTGGTAGACGGATCAGGGGTTAGAGTCCCCTTGCCGTTAGGCTGACCGTGGGAGGTTCTCATGGTCTTCCTCTCCAAGTAACGCAAATGTGGGTTAGCTCCATCAAAAATTCCTCCCTGAAGGCAAATATCTCCTAATGGTCAATCCAGGTGTTTCCTTGTCTTCTGGATTGGGTCGGCTGTTCAACAACGGTTATAAAATATAAAATAAAATATAAGTCATTATTGGATTCCGCAATAAAAACTTAAAATTTCAAAGGTCTCGAGATTTTTTCAACCTTACTTAATTTTTCTCTTTTATTATAGTTGCAAAGTGAGAATTTTTGGAATTAACCAATTTAGGACTCGATAGAGGTGAAAGAAATGTTTCCCCAGGCTCATATGCCTTTTTATTTTACATATGCGTGTGACTTTGAGAGTTTTCCCATATAGCCTTATTTTATTTAAAAATTCATATTAAATCAATACTGTGTGACATAATACACATACAACTAAGACATGGAGAAAAATAAGATTCTATTTGAAGATTTCAAGAACAAATTAAAAAGTAGAAAGCAATGGACAAATTCACAGACATGCTCAGTTCACAATTGCATAGCATAGATAAACGTTGCCTTCACAATATGGTGACTCAACATTTCGTAGGCAAGTTCAGTAACACTTGTTGAAACTAAAAACACATCAACCCATACAGCATCATGGTTGTCCAAGTTCATCGGTCAGAACATCATCGGATCACTGCCAACACTTGTTATCGCTACATAAAGCAATGCAGCACTTCAAAATACCATAGTAGAACAAAGTGAAAGCTCATAGGCATTGGCATAATTACTAAGAATTTGATGGCTTCATCTTTCTTCAAATAACTGCTGAGTATGGAATAGAACATTCCAACTGCTTAACAAGCCAAGAAAAGTGACAAAGAGGAGATAAAGAAATGGACACCCAGTCGCATTTATCCTGTGACCAAATTTACATAACATTGATGCCAAAAACCAAATGCTTAGATTTAACTATTAAAAATCACTTAAGATAGATCTATGCTAATTACTGACTAGTGAATTATATAACAGATGCCTGGTGGCTGAGTGGTAGTGCTTCGCTCTCCTGTGCCACAGGTCCTGAGTTCGCTCTCCTGTGCCACAGATCCTGGGTTCGATCTTCGGGCCGGGCAAGGTTGACTCAGTCTTTCATCCCTTCAGTGGGTGGATAAATGAACACCACGCATGATTGGGAACTAAACACTAAGGGTTTCGCGTTCGGCTGACCACCTAACCGGAACATCTGCTCCTGCACCCCAGAGCCCAAGGTCAAGAAAACTGAGATGGGCACAATAGGCCTTGGCCCTCTATAGGCTGTCGCACCACTGAGTTTAGTTTAGTTTTTTTAGAATTATATTACGGAAAGATATATGCTGATTCACTGTTCTTGATGTACATTGCTACCCCTCTACCCAACAGGCAAATCATCGCGCAACTGCTAAAAAAGGTATAAACAAAACCTCTAAAGTTAACAAAGTCCTGAATTGTGATAAGTAACAGAAGTTAATCGTTGCTTTTAGATTTGCAGAGCAACGGAATGTTACAACTGCAATTAAATAGGTTGTGTTATTGATATTATCAGAGTATACTGTAGTGACTATTAAAAAAATACAATTGTGAAACTGATCCAAAACAAAAACACTATTTCGCAAACTTCAAACAAAAATTCTACACCTGTATAAACTAAGAAGCATTCTATCCTTTACCTACTCCGTCAAAAAATAAATGGAAACCAAGAACGCAGTACATCCCGCATTTAGCCATTTTGAAAGAGACAAACACACTGCCATCTAGTGTTGCTTAAAAATTTAAATAAAACATTCCAAATTGAAATCATGTATTTGTGATCATGGGCCACTGGCGTTGGAAAGGCTTATCTCATACATGATACTGTGGGCCATAAAGGAAAAATCGTGTCCACACGTATATGTTATCATGGTCCTGAATGAGTTGAATTTTAAATTTTGATAGGTATCGATTACCCTGACTACTGAGAAAGATTCAATTTGTATAACATAAAAGTATACTTACAATGATTTCCACCTTTTGACCCAAAAGTTAGAAAAATCAAAACAATGAAAGTGAAATACAGAGGTATACTAGCACCAGCATAAGTCATATTAGTTTCACTATCTAGTTTGTTAGATAATAAAACCTAGAAAAAAATTAAAATCAATAATACAAGTTTATATAAAAGACTATTTAATAGTAAATTACTAATAACATAGACAAAATTAAATGGACATTAACAATTTGAGAAATAAGACTATTTAAAAGTAACCATTCTTTAGCTAAGATATCCTATTCTTAACTGTGAAATTTTAGAGCGAGAAAGTGAAAAAAATAAACTTAATTTAAAAAATTTTTATTATTTTTTTTAATTCAAACTTGAAAAGTATACTTAAGGTGAAAAGTTCGCTTTCATTTCAAAAATTAGCTATTAATAACATTTTGATCAAACATAGCACAAAAAACTGTACCAAATACAATTATACATTATTAACTCAATTATTATTGCTCCACATTTTTGTTGTAACATGGTGTTTTAGTAGCATTTAGGTTTTCAATATTTTTGAGTTGGGTCCATATCAGAAGAGTTTTCTGACCAGTCAATCAAAATTTTTTTTAATTAAATTTTCCTTAGATTCGGCAATGCAGCAAGAAACTAAGTGGCTTATTCTCTGACAGGGTACTGAAAAATTTCTGTGTATCAGTATGACCTTACACACAAAAATACATGAATAAATATCTGCGTCTGACCCTGATTCTGATGCCAATTATTATCTTATTGCCTAGTCGGAAAATAAGCTGGCAAGTCACATTCAAACATAATTGTAGAGCTTGGAGCAATATAAAAAAAAAATCACAGTTTTAAATTATTCCCCAAAACACTTTTTTTTTAAAGTTTCAAAAGCTGGGAAGAAAATTACGCTTTTCTCAAAAACCCCTCATCGGACTACTACAGAAGAAGAAAAATACACTGCATTCAAGTATCCAAAACCAAAAAATACACACAAAAATTACTCATAAATCTCACAACATGCAATTAACCTTTTAAGATTAGGTATTAAATACAATTCAGTACAAAATCATATAAAAAAAACTGTAAAAATTTTCTTCGTATGCACAGTATGAAAGAACTATTTTAAATGCAAATATCTTGTATAATTTTTAACAAATTATTTTCAAATTTTAAAATTATAGTTTTTTTTAATTAGATCTTGCTTCAAAATTGAATATTTCTAAATTTTCAGCAAAAACTTGTCAGGCAAAAAAATCAGTATATTATAAAAATGTCCATATTTCCATAAATATTTAACCTAGGCATGACCTAACTTCTCCAAAATTATAAAATAATCCTCTAAGTATTTCCTAAAAAATTTAAAAAAGTGTCAAAAATTGAAAGTGTGTCATCAATTACTGTAAGGAAGTGTGTGTGTGTTTGTGTATATATGTATATATATATGTGGGAGGGTGTGTACATATACATACATACAGGGTGCAGCAAAAAAACACAGACAAATGATTTTTAATATAACTTAATGATGAACAAATAATTTAGCAAAATTTAAAAATTTTATTGGTTTCAAAGTGGCAGTCTTTCGCAGCACTGCTGAGGCACAAACACTGATTGAAATGTTCAGTTACAGGGTACAAGTCTACTATCTTTAATCTATCCCATTTCCGTCATTTGTCAGATGATATCTTATCCGAAAAATGCACCTTGCACCACTCTTGAATCTTTTTGGCCTTGTGAGCTAGTGCAGATCATGGTTTGAAAAAGTCCAGGTTAATTTTTTAAAAATCCTAGATCACTTTGCTTTTTTATTTTTGACTTTAAAAAAATAATTAAATAAAAAAAACAAGCTTTTTGGAGGGGGCCATCAGAAATATTTTAAGTTTTTATTCTCGAGTGATATTGCAGGATTTGCATCTAACACAGGTCTTACTCGTTTTGTCGCAGGGTAACCATTTTTGGGGAGGTTTTAGTTAGCAACACTATTACTTTTATTTCCTAATGGCCAACAAATTGTTACATAAAAATTTAAATTATTCAATTAAGAGAATCCCAATACCCTTTATTACATTAACACTAGCTTAGTTCCTTAGTCTATTGAAATAAAATTTAAATTAAAATCATTAGGCTTGATTTCCCTAGCAAATTAATATACAAATTTCTATTTAACTTTTGATTACTATAAAATTAGCTAAATGTTTTTTGCCAGATTGTTTAGTTATAAAAGGATCTAGTTGCTTGGACTTAGTATATATGTAGAAAATATATATGTAGTATATATGTAGAAAAGTATATATGTAGTATATATGTCGAAAATCCCATATCCAAAATCATTGAGAAAATAGATTTTTCTGATAAATAGGTTAAGAAAAACAAACATCAAAACATTTTTAATCAATAAAAAATAACAAATTGACAATAATTAACACCAATTTCCTTCAACAGCGTTTTCTTTTAGGTTGAATGACAGATAAAAAACTAAAGAAAGTTTAGTATGATAAAATCTATATGCATAAAAAATTAAAGTAAGCTAATGATAATTTGAACGTTTTTACGAAAAGATTTTTCTATGATTTTAAGATACAAAGAAATAACAGCACAAATAATTAAATAAAATTAAAATTTTTAAAGATTAAATTTCTAATGTAAAATTAATCTGATTTAATAAAATAAAAAATCTAAAACAAAGAACAGATTTAAGAAGATTTTTTAATGAAAACACCAATACATTAAAACAGACAAATGTCTGCTGGTGTTCTTTTCAACACTATTAATAGTCAGCTTCAGTTTATTCTTCTCCCTGAAATTTGTTTTTCATAACTGTTTTTGTTTTTTCAGCAACTCTTTTAACGTGGTTATTGAAACAAATATGTGTTTAGCTATTGAAGAGGCAGCAAAAAGAAACATCTTTTTTTTACTAATAATTTTTTAACAAATCACAAACATAAAGAAAATTATTTTTATTGCTAAAAGAAGCACGAAAATTAGATCCTTTGGGTAAATTGATGTCCAGATATGGGACTTTATACTGTAGTTGTAAGTAGTATAAGGTGAATGCAAAATAATCAAATTTGAGAATAAACTCAATAATATAATTTAGAACATACATAAGCCTAAAAATAAGACTATATTTTAAGATATTATTTTCTTTGTAAAATATAACCTAGCATACATGCCTTAAAAATAAATTATGAATATTTAACATAATTCATAAAATTGTTGTTGTATTTTAGAAATGAATGCTTTAGTAATACATTTGTTAACTAAAAATTATAAAATAATTAAATTGTTTAACACTACTTGATGTTTAATACTACTCTAACTCTAAATTGTTTAATACTACTCTAACATCTATCACAATCAACTTATTTTTTTTTTCAAAAGCGGGTTGTTCCTGAAACTAACTTCTCAAAAGGTTTTCCAGACAATCCCTATAACAATGCAATGGATTTAAAAAGTTCATTTCACTTTAAATAACCAGTAATGCACTTAAACATTTTGCCGTCTCATTCTCAACAAACTAAGCTATGTTTTAAATTGCATTGCTAGAGAAACTCATGAATTCCATAACAGGATGTTAGATGGACTTGAACGATTTCCATATCAAAATGTTTCATAAAAAAGAGTAATGGTATTGAATAAATTCATGACTAAATTCATTATTAAATTATTTAGTGAATTTCCTTTTTAGTAGTGTTTATATTCTTTTTCTATGCAGCGGAGAATATGCTTAAACTTAAAAATTACATTTTTCAATAATCTTATTTTTTTTTATATTTATCATTTTTGTATTTTTTTCTAATAAAAAAACTTATTTTATAACGTTTGTTGCATTTTATTCCTTATTTCTTGTGATTTAATATTTTACAATAATGAGGGTAAAAACTTTAAGTGTTTTATTAAGTGCACTTAACTAAAAAAAAAACAATTTAACGGGAAATTATTTAATTCATAATATAAAAGATGTCATATTATTTTAACGAATAAAAATTCCTCAGAAAATTACAATTAAAAAAATTCTTACCAAATAAATTAAAAGTGGAATCACAATTATGCTGTAAGATATGGCTGAATGCATGCTTGTACGGCGTTGTTCAACACTCACTTCAGGTGTTCTAAGCAAGATACTGGCAAAAATTATAGCGTATAACACACCTATAACAGCCATACACATAACAAGCCAAAGTGGTACAAAAACAACCTGAAATTATTTAAAATGTCAAATATAAGAATATTTTCAGCATTAACTAAAAGTTTTATGCACAATTGAAGTAAAAACAAATTCAAGACATCTATTTTATTACAATATTAAAATTCTTACTATATTGACTAATGAATAAAGAAATACAGTAAACTAGCGATCATCTGCAATCTATGTGAATTCAGATGTTCAGAATGAAATTTGATTGATGAATTCAGAAATAAAAATTTTACCCTTATAAGTTTTATCATGTTAAAACACCTTTTATTAAATCCTAATTTAGGGTTTATAATAACATTTTCGCACTCATTTGGTCAACAATTGAAGAGAAGGATCTTATTTGGATGACATATAATTGAACAGAATCTCACACAAGCAGGTACCATAGTGGATCAAGGAATAAATCAGGACATTTAAAAAAAAAAAAAGAAAAAAAGGAAATTTTTTAGTATAATATGCATACACCAAAATACTTTTAAAAAAAAGACAAATAGCAAATTAAAATTTGCTCTACTTAAGTAAATTAAAAGCATATTTTATCACAAAAAAATAATAAAATATACAACTTTAATTTTAGTATTAATTTGTTCAGAATAGAAAGCTTTAACAGCTTGCAGAACATTTTTATTATTGCAGAACAACTCAAAATAACTTTTAACTCAATGCATGGAAAATTTTTATATAACTGTTGCATTACAAAAGATAACCATTACCAATTAGTTAATATCTTCTCATACCAATATCTAATTAAAACTCATAATTGAGTTCAAGATTTCTTAAATCAAATAATTTTAATTATTGATTAGAATTAATCAATTATAAAATCAGATGAAAGAGTGAATCAATAATTGTGAAACTACTTAAGACCACCCAACATAATTTGTTACTGCATTTGCATAAATTATAAATAAGCATATCATCCATGAATTCATCACTATAAAAATTTGATAATATAAAATTGTTAACCGAGTTCCTTTTTCATAGAATGGCTGAATTAACAAAAAGGTTTAATCAATGAATCTAGATGGTAAGGCTATATGTCTGAACTGTGTACATAATTAGTAGATGGTACCTGCAAAAATTGGAACTATCAAGTTTAGTTATTTCTACTATAATTATTATCAAATTGATCAAAACTCCAAACTTTTTGATTCTTCAAAAAAAAATTAAAATCTTCATGTTCATTCTTAGAGAATGGGATATTCTGAACACAGACTAAAATATTAGGACACAAAGCTAAAAATCAGGACAAAATATTTGTTATCAAGAATATCAGGACAGTTACAAACCCTCCATAAGTATATTTTCAAAGATAAGATAAATGAGGCATAGTTTCAAGCAGATAAACTCTAATGACACATAATCTCACGATAAAATAATATTGTGCGTGGCACAGAACAATTTGGGCAAAATATTGTGAAAGAGAGTTTACAATGATTAAAATACAGCAGAAAAAAAATTTTTGAACAAAATACTAATAGTATGGTATGGTACTAATATTAATAGTATGGTATGGTTAATCTCATTTCTAGATGACTTGTTTTCTGAAAGGATTATTTTTTAGATACCTTTTCAAAATTAAAATAAACAGATCTTTCTTCTTCCTGAACATTAGAAGAAAAAAAGAAAATGAGACTTTCTAATTTTGGAGAATCACTAACATGTTCGATTTCAGATTAAACTGGAAAACTACTTAATTCTGTTCCTTGTATATTATAAGGTATTTGTGTATTAACCCTTCAGCAATGAGAATTGCAAACGTGCATCTATTGCCAATGCCTGAAGTCTCTTGCGCAAGTACAGTAGGGAACCGATTATCTGGAACGATCGGGACCATCGCTATTCCTGATAACTGATTTTTCCGGTTTTCTGAATCGCTACAAAAAGCTGCTTTTTTTACCGTTAAACCCAACTTAAAAAAAAAAAATATTTGGAAATAATCTTAAAATGAAGAAAAAACGATGAAGTAATACACTAATGATTATTTCCAAAATGATGGTAAGGTAAACATCTTTCAAAAAAGAAAGAAAAATCCTAACATATTATGAGGAAAAAAACATTTTTTTAAAAAAAATGGCAGGAAAATTTATCAAATTTCGTTCCGGTTTTCTGATTTCCGGATAACGGGTTCTGTACCGTATCTAACTGTTCAAAGCCAGAGGGTTTTTCACTATTAAGCCTAAGTCCTAGTGTTATAGAAATAGGAAAGTGTTCTTTGATAATGTAACTTAGATAAATGAGATGCAATGCAAATATCTTTTATTTACCTACTTTATTTACGTTTTTTCTTGTTTTATTACATTTTAAAACAATTTTTTTTCAGTATTTTTTTTCCATTTATTAACTTTTGACATTATTGTCTTTGATTTTTTTTTCAATATTTAAAAATACTGTGAAATATACAGATTTGGCTAGTTAAATCTGTAATATTAAAAAAGAAGTAAAAAAAATAAAGTAAGTGACTTTTTAATGTTGAATTTTTCAATTATTCTAATAATTTGTTACCCAACATCCTCATCTTAAAAAGTGCCAAAAAGCATATCATTCGGAAAAATTTCTTTACTCTCGCATTTATATAATCAAAAACCACAAGCATGTGAGTCATATGCTTTCATTTTAAGTAGAAGGTCAAACCTACAAATATTTCAAATCCTAGGAAGATGCAATGCTTTCTTGTACCTAAAGTTAAAGTTTTTAAAAGATTCCAGAACACTGTCGCGTCACAAAGATGTGATGATTTGGAGTGAACGAGAAGTGCTCCTGCACACCAGTGTGCTGGCTGGAAAGAGAAAGCGTTTCATTGTGTCACCTATATGAGAGAGGGTTAAAGAGGTCTGCACTTTTAACCAAAATATTTTTAAGCACTTTCTGTTTCCCTTAGAACTTTTAGTAATCAAAATAAATTAAAAAATATCTTTCTGAAAAGGATGAAAAAAATCACCCTATTTCACTTTTACCCAGAAAAAATACAGAACCATCTCCATTTTTACTTTGTTATGGTTAGGGGAATGGAAAATCTAAACAAAAGACAAAGAAAAAAAAAAAAACTGTCCTTGAGAAGCATTCTTTTCCACCAAGTCATTGATAAAAAAAGAAGTATTTTGTTTTCAGTATCTGAGTATCTGTGATATTGATTACTTTTTAGACTAAAAAAGAACCTATTAACTTATGAATAGGGGGGCATTGTTCTTTAATCTGCTTAACTTTTGATTTACAGTTATGTTTTTTTATCAAAATTTTTTTATTTTAAAATTTTTTATTGCATAGCAAATTTTAATTTTTCTTTAATTTAAAGACCTATTATCTAGAAAATTTTGCCATTGTCACAACATTGCATCATACTGGATTGTCTACTGTTAATAAAAAAAAGTATTTAATGTGTAAAAATTTTCCCTACTATAACCTCATAATATAAAAACCTCATATAAACCTCAAAGAGGATTAAGAGAAATATTTATGAAGTCTGACTCAATGGTTCTGGACATCAATAAGAGACAAGAAAGAAAATTGTACAAGAAGATACCTGTGCCCCCAATGCTTCCAAGAGAATATTTTGAAGTAACATTTTATAATTCTTCAATAATTGAAAGTCTTATATTAAAAAAATGAGCTGTAAAAAATTTATAAATAAAAAAGTAGCAGCAAATGTTTTATAAAAAGAAATGGGTAGTCTTTGATTTAGCTCACAGCAATTTAAAAAATAAAAAAAGAATGTAAGGAGATATTTTTAAACCATATCCAAATTTAAAAGACGCATTTCTTCACTTGAAATAACACAAAGAATTTTAATTACTTTTTAAAGTTTTCAATTAATACTGGTCAACTTTAAAAAAATAAAGAATTACCACACATAACATGATTTCCAAAAAACTAATGCATAAATCTCATTGAAAACTTACACACTTCTAGATAATAAAAAAAAATTAAAGATTTCTTTAAAAAAAATTTAAAAAAAGTGAGATTTGAATTTCTAACAAAACTGTTTACAAAAAGATATAATTTTTGGAAAAATTTAATAATTCAAGTTTCAACCTGTAAAATAAGTTGTTTCTGAAGAAGAAAATGTTTTTCCTTCAATAAATTTCATATAGAAGATGCATGCAAAACTTCAATAAGATTGGTGCACTAGTATTTAATAAGAATGAAAAATAAAGTTATGAGAAAATTCTTTTGAGTTTACAAACATCTTCTCACCAAGTAATTGATTTAAAACTTTAAGAAAGTAGAATTAGCATTTTTTAAACTTATGTAATCATAATACTTACCACCCAATTCCACATGATAATTTCATCCAATCTCAAGGCAAGGAAAATAAACTGCAATATATTTACAGAGCAAAACAGCTCCAACTAAGAAGAAAAAAATTGCATAAAATAATACTATTTACAAAGAGACAAGAATATATGATAACATGCAATGATTATATTGTTTACTCCAAAGTTTAATCACTTGCTTTTTTTCCTGTAAAAATTTGCTCTATATTATACTAAATATAGAGCATCTTAATATTAGATTTTGTAAGCAAAAAATAAATAAATAAATAAATAAATACAATTGAATGAGGAAGAAAACATGGAAAAGTTTCACTAAAATGTAGAATTTTTATAACAAATAATTGTAATATATGTTAGAATTAAACTCAAATCTCAGTAACTGATTTCAGTCACTGCCAAAGACAGGTTATTCTTCAGATATGATTTGGGAATTTTTCAGGTTTTTGTTTATAAAAAAAATGTAACTTTCCCTGACTATTCCGCACTATTTAAGAGTCAAAATAAAATTACCTGGCAATTCCTGTTTTCCCTGACCCATGGGAGCCCTGTTAATTTAGTAATTAAATAAATAAAGATACATGATTAATGGAACATTCAAAATGATAAAAAGTTTTAAGTAACAATTTACTTATTTCATGATAAAATTTTCCTAACTACAATAAGCTATTTAAAAGAACAACAAACATTTCATTTAGTATAATTATTTTAAGAAAAATACCTCAAAATTACGATCATGCTTGACAGCCCAAATGCAGACCACAACAGATATTATTGAAATAAAAATCAAAGGAACAAACACTAAAATCCACCAATGACGATTATTTTCCAGTTTGTCACATACTAAAACTTCAAACATCAACAGTAAAACTTGTAAAACTACACTAATTAGCATAGCTTTGTAGTGGATGTAACCTTCTCCTTCAACTCTGAAATAAAACGACAATTAATAAACTTAAAAGAAATATATATATTTTTTAAAGTTATTCACTTTAATGAATAAACAAATCAGAGTGAATGAGTGTTGTAACAACAAATTAAAAAACATTTTCATGTGTATATTAATTAATATGTGAGCAAAAAGTATTCCACTTACAACAATTAATTGTTGTAACAAACTTAAATTGTTGAAATAAACATTACTCTCACTATGATTAAAAGATTAAATAACCTAAGGAGGGTGTATGAAAATTTGGCGGCCGAAGTGTATATCCCAATAGATAAGTCAACTTTTCAAAAACCCAAATTTTTTTTTAAAAAATCAGGCAGTCAACTTATTTACTAATAATAAAGTTGGAGATTCCTTGATTGTGAAATATCAATGCAGTATAAACAATGAAATATGCATGAATAACTCTGTAACAATTTACCCCTATCAAAAACTATTTTTACTATGTTATATACAATTCCTTTTGCATTTTCTTTCACATTTTTTTTTACACATAAAGGTTATTATTTTATTAATTTTTTTAGAAAAATACTTCAAATTACGTTCAGAAAAAAATTAAGAATTGACATATTCAACCGTTTTTAAAAAAATATAACACAATGAAAACTTGTTAAGCCACAAACTTAAAGAATCCAGAACATCATTTGTGTCAGATTCAATAATGTTAGCAGTGTCACCATATGAGTCCCATTCTCCACTGGATTCTACTTCATTCTCATTTGCTGAGTTCTACAAAAAATAATCTTCACCTCCATTCAAAGAATTTGAAATGAATCCACATTTATCATCTGTCTAGTATCCTTTGACATATGAGTAACATAACTATATTCAGCACTTTTTAGACTGCTCTGGTTATAGCATGGGCCAAGTTTAAAAACATGTATCTTTCTTTTTAATGAGTATGTACAACAAACTCTTAAGAAAGGTGAAATTAGACACAGTCGAAAAGAGGGCAGAGGTGGCTAAGGCTTGGTGTTTTGGTTATAGTGGTTAGTGGGACTGAATTGGGCTGAAGACTTGTGACTTACTGTCTGTTTCTTTGTATAAAACAAATCTCCAGGTAAATGTTTCCTAAGGATATAAGTCAAGGCTATGTCCAAGTGTCAAGACAATGGGCCACATCTTAGATATTTTTATAGGTAAAGATAACTTGCTAAAATTTTTCTAGCAAAAACTGCTTCAGGTGTTTTATGAAGAACCATCAACAAGTTCATATTATTTATTCATGATATTATACCCAGAAATACCCCAGAAGTAAAAGGAAAAACTAATAACTTTCGAACTTTAAATATACCTTTCTAAATTTTATAATTCAGGATCAGTAAGTAATTTAATTTCAATTTGAAGAATATTTTAGTAAAATAAGAATTGAATTATATTAGGCAAACATTACTTTAGAAAGCACTGCTAACATAATTTGATAGTGTGAGTTGAAAAATCTTTCACAATTAATGATAACTTGTTTCTTTGTTAATAAATTTATTTCATTTCAAAACTTTGACTTTTAAATTCTTGTCTTAAGACCTTTTATTTAAAATACTTTTTTTCCTTTAATTCTGAACCACCTGAAAAGTAGTTTTTTTATTTCTTTATTCCACAAAAATTATTTTACCTGTATTGAGGATGCCGCCACCAAACATAACTACCAACACAAGCTCCTAAAATGACCATAGCTTTCCAAATCCATAAAGGGGTGAATATAACCCAATAAGTCCATGTGATATTTCCATCCAGGCGTAAACAAAATAGAATTGTAAAAAGTAGCAAACACACATAAACAAGAAACTTACTGAAATAAAATAAAACATTATATAATTTTTTTGTATTAAGTAATACAACATAAATGTTGCTAATATGCGAACAAAACCCCACCCCCCCCCTTTCAGGTAAGTTGCGTAAGTTAGAGTAACGACTTCCCGATAGGGGAAATCTGTATATAGTAGTAGAAGCCTGAGAGGTGGTTCGTTCGGTCGCATCATAAGCTGCGATGACTGATTAAGATGTATTTTCTTTTGCATAGCACTGTGTGGCGAGATGTTATTTCCTCAAGTTGTATTTTAATAAACTCTTTATTTGCCGGCATTGATTCTGTGCTCTTTAACAAAACAACAGTTGGTAGCAGAGCATGGTTTGCGATCATCATAGAAAAAGACTTAGTTTTTGGAATTTCGAAGTTGACTGGAACTAATTATCATCTTTGGGCCATGAAAATGGAAGCAGTTTTGAATTTGAAAAAACTAACGTCGGCATAGACAGAGGAAGTTCCAACTGATCCTATTAAATTGCAAGTTCTGGAAACTACTAACCAAGATGCCGTATTATACTTCAAGTTGTCGCTATCAGACGAACAGGCTTTACAATATGCAGAAGAAAAGAATGCAAAAGCTTTGCGGACAAGGATTAAAATTAACTACACTGGACTTGAAGATGATAGAAAGATTGATGCGGGTGCCGAACTTAAGAGCTTAGAAATGCTCAAGGATGGCGTCAGACTCTGCCCGACAAGGGGTCAAGTCTCCCCCTTGTTTCTTCGAAATGGTTATGAACATAAAATTGTAAAATTCGAGTTTTTTAAAATTTTTACATAACATAATTTCATGGACAAAAAAGGGCTATTTTAATCAGGGGACTCGATGTTAATATATATTGTAAATAATACAAAGAGACTTTTAAAATTTCTCCTTGCAATTCCTTTTTCTTTTCAAAGATGCTGTTAAAGTGAACATCTATGTTCTGCAAAATGCTAATCCATTGATGCTCAATGTCTCCATTTGAGAAAAAGAGAAAGTCCATCGACTTAAAATATAAGATTCAAACAATGTAGCTTAAATTTTTAATTATTTTTCAATTTACAAATTTTAAATTTGTGTCCGAGAAACGAATAGTAACTAACTTACATTTTTTAAAAAAATTGCCACACATGGCTGCTGTTTGTCTGCCAATGTTTTCGCTTCTCCGCAAAGCTGAAAGCACACTTTCTACCAAGATTTCTGTTTTGCCCTGCAGAAGCTTTTTACATATTGACATACGCCTGCAACGAATAGCCTTTCACACAGTTAATTAATTATTGTTTACCACATATCAACGCGAAACGATTTAAATTAGCTTTTGCTTTCATAGTTCCGAATTGTAAGTCACAAAAAATGGACACTAAAAATTAAGAAGTTAGGGGACCGAATTTTGGAAAATAAGAGTTTTTTTTTAATTTCTAAGGACTTATTTGACCAGTTTTGCTTAAATTTTGTATTTTGACATTTAAAATTGCAAATGATGAAAAAATTGTATACCTTACATTTCTTAAGTTTCTCGACTTCCCTTAAATAAAGTAATAATAAATGTTTGCTAAAAGTTTCATTTTGCATGAAATTATCTTTAGAAAAACGAATAGGAATTGATTGATCTGATTGGAATTGTTTGCAAAACTTTTTCAATTCGCTTGAAAAAAATTGGGATATAGCGAAATACGCAAAAACTAAAGTTAACATTAAAGGGTCTAACTTTCAAACGCACTCCTAAAAAAACTATTAAAACAATATTTCTAAATTGAAACTACGGTGGAAAGTCACATATCCGGAATCGGCGGGACTTCCTGAAGTCCGTATATTTGATTTTTCCGTATAATTGACCTCCAAGGTAAACAAAGCTTAAAATGATCCGAATCTAAGAAGCAGAAAATAAATAAACATTATTTTTCGGGCAATAATGTTTTAGTATTAGAATGATATCTAATCAATCATAAACAAAATATTAGAAAAAAAATAATTATTGCTATTTTAAATATAAATATGGAAAACGAAAAAAATGCACAGTTATGAAAATATTAATTGCTCTCTCCGCCATTTTGAATTAGAACGATTCAAGCAAGAAGGGGAAATTCCCGTCATTCATTAAGGTGGGTAGGTGGAGAAGAAAAATTAATTTCCTCCTTACTTGTCATTCAAGTTGAGGGCGGGGTAGTGACAAATTCTTATTTTCTCTCCCATCATTGGCTATCAAGAAAGCATAAAGGCGTGGCATGCTGATTGGGTTCTCTTTATTTTTTCTTGTGTGACTAAAGGGGATTCCCCCTCCACTTTAACATTTGCTGTGTTTACCTTTTTTCACAGTATTTCTTCTTCCCCTGACACTCAAATAAAAAGGTTCCAGGAAATGCCTCTTTTACTAGCCAGCTGCATAGGAAAGGAGGGGGAGGGAGGGAACTCAGTTGTGCTCTTTTGAAAACAAATCTCCCCCCTTTCCTGCATTCCAGAGGAGGAGCGTCTTGGTCTTAGTAGATCTTCTGTGTTCTCTTTTCTGTTGATTTATGGGTTCAATGCATAGATCTCTAGAAGCTGAGAAGGGGAAAAACCTGTCAAAAGACTTCCTTTTTTTTTTTTTTTTTAAAGGAGAGGGGAAGATGAAGAAATGTTTGTTTATTTTGATTGTTAAAAAGTGTCCGGGAAATCAACCCTTCTGGAAAAGAGACGTCCGGATATGGGACGTTACACTGTACTATATTTTGGGGGTTAGAAATCCGAATCCGTCGAAAAAAGGTATGTTTAATCGGAGTACGTTTTTATGTCTAATTTTTTAACTCAAAATATCGTTTGGACCAATTATTTAGTATATTTGATGTCACCCTCTCGAACCATTAAGAATTGTCAGACTATGAATTTCAACGAACAAGGTTCGAGTAAGAGTCAGAGATCACGAGTTCGAAAAACCTCTGAAAGAGGGAGTTCGAACATTTAAAAATAATCTAACGACAGAATTTGCATAGTATTAATTTTGAGTGTGTAAGTACCCTCATTATGCAACTGTTATTTTGTATATTTATAACAAATCAAGATTGGATTTAGAGTTTCGTTTCTTTTGATTTTCATGACTGTATGTATTGAATTCGTTACCTCATGTTATGGAGAGGATTGTTTTTCTTTTATGATGTTCAAGTTTAGTTATGATTTTTCCTGCTTAATAAAATTTCTTGTTAGTTCAACGATGACTTTTTTTTATTATGCTCGCTAAGCATTTTCCACAAAGCACTGAACTCTGCCAGCAAGGTTATGGGCCCTGCCTGCCCAGCTTAGTTAAGCTTTTGATGTCTTTAGAAGCAAGTTTATTATAACTCTAATAAAATAGCAAGATATACAAATTTTTAAATAATTTTATGGAAGGTAATTTTAAATTGTAAAATACAAAATTTGAATGAAATCGGTTGAATAATTCGAGATCAATAAACTTTTAAGCAAACTGACCTTTTTAAAATTTGATAACTCAGAAACTAATTGATTGATTGCTCTGAAAGTTTGTATTTTGAAATTAAAAGGATGTAAAAATACGTAGAACATACAATTCAATGTGTATTTTACTATTATTTAATAAACTAATAAAAAATAACAAGTAATTATTTAAAATCATTTTTGCTTAAAAATTTGTGTATAAAATGTTTTTTGTAATTTTATGCAAACATTTTTCAATGCACTCAAAAAGTACTCAAGATAATGGGCTATAATCGAAGAGTGAAGTTAAAATTAAAGAACCCAAGCTTTCCAATTCTCTCTCTCTTTGCCATAACTTCAGACCATATCTTCCAGATTGCGGCTGTTTCCACATTTTGAAAACTAAAAACCTGAAACTATAGACAAACTTGTAGGTTTATCCAGAACAGAATGTGCTTTTCTGCTCATTTTCATAACTTAAAATATGGTATTGATCCGTTGTACGTGAAAATACGATTAAATCAAAAGTCAATCACGGTGATCCCTTTTTCCATTTCATACACTGTACATAAAATAAGTCAATGAGAATCAATTTTGTTGATTAATATATATTTTAAGATATTGAATACAAAGTTTAATTGTTTTTCTGTATCAATCAACAATCTTTTTACTTTTAAGAAAATTATAAAAAAATAAATAAATTAAAAATATTTTGTTACTGTTTATTTTGCTTTTTTTCCGACTGCATATTTATTGAATAAAATATAAACCTTGAATCCAAATAAGTAAATGATTTTCCTTATTTAAAAGTATTTAAAAAAAAGATGAAAAAATAAATAAAAAAATATTTTATTCTCATATACTTTCATTTTGCTTAAAAATTTCAAAAAGCAATTATGTGATCCCAATAACCATTGATAAACACATTACATAAAAAAGAATTTGTAAAGAAGAGGACCTGCCTCTCTTTCTGTCCCCCAGGCTTTTGTCAGATATTCCCCCAGCAAGAGGCATGATTATCCCCACTCAGTTCTCCAGAAGAAATAATAGCAGTTTGAAAGATAAGTTTCCAAGAAAATGAAGATGCGTCTGTGGGAAAGGATTTCTAAGGGACTTCGAAAAGTCGTCAATTTCAACCATGTCTTATCGCATCCGGTCTCTAGTTTAACAATGTATAGGCAAAGTTACAAGTAGTGTAGTGAAACTACAATTACATAGAATTTACAATATATTTTACCAATTTTTGTAACTAATTCTTAAAAATAAATAAATAAAAAATCAACTACAAAAATTTTTATTAGGCATTTGTAAATGAATTTTTGACATTATTTAGAAAAAAATGTGACCAAACTATTTTCCCGCCAAGACTCTAAATTTTTCCCGATGGGGGTGCAATTTTCCCCTGGCCCCCTACTGGCGCTGCCCTTGGAAATGCTGGATTAGGAAGCAGTAAACGATTATATAGCTCGAGCTAAAGGATCATCTACTAAGTGTGCTTCCTTGGGACTGAAAATATCTGACGGAGAATTGATGTTTTACACACGTAAATGCATAGAGAAAATATTTTTAACAAGTGTATATTTATCCAAGATTCAAAAATTTAAATTTGTTGAAAAAATGGTATGTTTATTTAGAGAAAGTACGTTTTCATGTCTAATATCGCAACTTAAAATACCGTCTGCACCAATTATTAAGCTTATTCGACGTTACCCCCTCAAAACACTAAGATTGAGTCCTAGAATGTGAAAATCAAATCAACCAATCAAAAGTTACTCATGATTGTCTGTTTTTTTTTTTTTTTTTTTTTTTTTTTTTTTTTTTTTTTTTTTTTTTTTNTTTTTTTTTTTTTTTTTTTTTTTTTTTGTGCATTGTACATTGATGTTACCAATTTATCATATCCCACAGAGAAAATCTGATAAATAAATAAAAAAGATATTTAAGATGTCTAATCAGGGTGGCCACTCAAATCCGATTTCAAATTTCCCTGATTTTTCCAGGTTTTCCAGATAAAAATCATAAAATTTCCAGGTTTTTGTTTCTTTTTTCATATAAAGTATAGGATGTGTACAAGAAAAGTGTCGATATTATAAAATATTTTATTCAAAATGTTATTTTTTTAACATATCATCTTGAAAAAAATAATTTATTTTGACAATTTTCAAGATTTTTTTAAATTTATTTTTTAATGTTTTGGTACAAAATATCGAATCAAAAATCATATTGACCAACAAAAGAGTAAAATTAAATATAAATATATAGTTGGTTCTTAAAAAAACTTTTTTTTAAAATTAAAATATGTTATAAAAGGTTAAAATGAAATAGAAAAAATTAGCATTAATGCAACAATTGTAACGATTTGTCGACAAACATTGCTGTTAGCGATTGTAAAAAAATGTGTGATTGGTTGGTTTGCTGAGAAAAATAATTCAGATTTCTTTGATTGGGAGTAGAAAAGCTTTCAGAAAAAGACTGCGATATAAAATCTATTATTAAATTATAACCAACTAATTTTTGGAGAATTTTATAAAGTTAAAAATACAAAAACATTTTGTCAAAATAGAAAAAAAAATTTACCACCAAAGCATTGGAACAAAGTTGAGCCATAAATGGATTCAGCCCAAGGAGAGAATTTAAAAAAAAAAAGAAGCTAATATCCTAATCCCTTTTTCCACCCCCACCAGAATCTTGCCTAAATTGCACAGTCCCATAGCAGTCAAAGGTTTCCACATTCGTTTAGCAACTGTGTGAGAATTTTATGTGGCATTCTAGTTTAACAGAGCTGTAATGGAGCAAATTTTGATGCAAGCAAAGTATAGCTAAGTTGATGATATTTCAACTGTTTGGCGATACATTTCCGTTTAAAAAAAGTGGGTATAACGGATGAAATAATTTAAATTAAGAAAATTAGTAAATCCAGCTTTTCTTTAAAATTCCCTGATTTTTCCAGGTTTTTATCCAAATTTCCCTGATATTTCCAGGTTTTTTCCAGTATAAAAAAATTCCCTGATAATTCCAGGTTTTCCAGGTGGGTGGCCACCCTGCTAATCTAGCTCTATGCTTTCTCTAAACTAAGATAAACATCACAGAAATAGACCAAATCAAAGAATAAAACTCATACTTTGCCAAGGGCAAACCACTACGGAATTTTTTTTTCTTACATTTTTGCTAGTTAAAAAAAATCTAACAAACAACTATTTTTGTACCGCTCAGGGATAGCCATTCAAAAAGTCGATGGGCTATTAAAAATCTTCTTTCCAAACAAAAGAAAGCAAGAGCAAACTAGATAAACAAATTGTTAGGAAACTAAAACTAATACGGAAAAATAAAAAGACTTATACATTACCTAGGATTAAAGTCTTGAAAAAGACTCTGTAAATTCATGTTATGTAAATAATAGTTTTTGAACAGTGAAGAATTGCTCAAAAATGTTGGCCTGTATCAAAGTTTATAGAACAGACTATAGACATAACAAAAAAAAGTTTTAATAGATTAAAGAATTAAAATTAACTAATTCGAAAATATAAATATACAGAATATGAGGTATGTATGCACAACTTAGCTAAAAAGCATGCTAATTTATTAAGGATTCAACCTAAAATTGAGAGCTCTAAAAATTTAGTAAACATGAAGATGTTGATGATGTAAATGACGGCCAGTTTTGGAACTCTTTGTAGTGTTTTACTTATAGCTCACTTTGCAATTGAGTAAGAATGAGTGACCACCAATGAGTGTTTCACCAATCAGAGTTTCATTCGCTCTCGCCGGCAATCATAAGTGCGTGAATCGCATGCAGTGAGATTGACTTGTTATTTTTACGCGCATAAAAAATAGACATAAAAACGCATGCGCAGAAAATCATGGCTCTTGGATAATTTTATCCAATCAGAACATGGGTCTGTATAGAGCGTAGCATACTTATTGTGTCTTTATTTTTATTTACTAGATGCCGGTTGTGTGCTTTGAAAACTGAAAACAAAACAATGTTGTCAATCTAAATAGCATTGTCTACAATATGAAAAATCGAGTTGACTCATGAAAACAAATCATCGAATATAATTTTTATTTTATATCTTATTTATGTGTGTTGATCAAATTAAAAACCGAATAAAATTGTCTGCATTTGATTTACACGTGTAAATGAATTAATAATTGTTAAAAAAAGAAACTAATGTAATTAAGAGTGATCTTGAAGTAAAATCTGATTATACTTTGGGTATTTTTTCATTTGAATTAATTACTGAAGAGTAATTTAGTACAACTTCATCAATATGTAAGTTATTGCTTGTACATAATGTTCAATAGTTATTAACCCCCTCAAAACTTCTATTAAAATTAGGAATAAGTGCAAATAATTAATATAAATTTTACAATAAAATCATTTTGATATTCTGAACCAGAACACCATTGACAATTATATATGTCTTTAAGTTATCTTCTTTCATCTATAAATTTGTTTTTTTTTTGGCAATCTAAGTTTTAGACAGGAACTTATTTTTAAAAATAAGCTACTTTTGAAAATTTACCTGGGTACAAAATTTTTTTTAAGTGATGCATTTTATATGATCTGTTTATAAGTAAAGCAGAAATGAATGCAATATTTCTATCAATAAATTGGAAGCTTTTCCTTAATTCAGTTTTTATACCTACCAAATATTTTAATTTTTTGTGTGAATTTCTTATAGCCTTGATCCATATGTCTGACTTATTTTGTGGAACAGATGTTTTCAAACTTAGCTTAACAGGGGCAGTTTTCTGTATCAATATTTGCCCCAAAAGAGTTGCCAAATCCTTCTGGTGAGAGCCAGTACTGAAAAAAACATCATGGAAGGGGACCATCTTAAAGGGTATAGCCATATACCCTTATAGCCATACCCATCTTATAGCCATATTCACCCAAACTACTGCAAGTACAAAACCCCTTTGGCAATTGAAGATGGTGCAAACATGTACTAATATAGAAATATGTCTAATATATGCAGCATAAAATGTATGTTATAAAGTCTAATTTTAAAATGTAATAAACAAGGCCATTCTTAAAAATTAAAAAGAGAGAGATTTTTCCTCCAGTTTCTATGACTAAGAAAACTATGAGAGTTAATAGGAATTGGTGACTGTTGTGACAGGTACAATCTTCAAATGGCTACAAAGGTTTTTGTATTTGTTTATATTTTTAAAAAATAAATTGAGTATTTCCTAGGAGTCGACAAAAGGTACATCCTTCAAGTTTATCCTCTTCTATGATATTTTTTTCTTCTATTTCTCACATGCCATTCCTGGTTTGTCACCAAAACTTAGCACCTTCATGGGGATATTTCTGTATTGTGATCTGCCACACCAACTACAATAATCAAGACTCTAAATTGTTTTTAAATGAGAAAATCGTTAAAAAAAAAAAATCAGGCAGAGGTTTGCCCGGGGGTGGCTATGAGCTATACCCTTTGAGTTTGTCCCTTTCTGTGATGTTTCTTGCAGGATGCTGCCTGGAAATTGCCAAGAGTTGGCAATTATTCTAATATAGATCACGATTCCGAAATATCCCCCCCGACGGGATTATTGCTGCAGGTACCAATACTGAAATCTTATCCCCCAAAAAGATGTTGTTGCTGTAGTGTTAAAATTTTTTTTCCTAGAACACAAGTCTTCGTAAAGGGGGGGGGGCAAGCTGAATGAAAAACTAAATTTTATCAATGCTGAAATACTGTGACTTTCAACAGATGTAGGAATGGAGCACTGGGAAATGATCAAATCCGTTTAAAAAATACTAATGAAATCTAATGTATGAATATTGAGTAAGACTATTAAAAGCATGAAAACCTGTTGTGAAGGAGAAAATTAAGAAAAGATTAAAAGAGGTTATTTTAACTTTTGTTAGTATATAATTTTGTTTTCATTTTTGACGAGTATTCTAAAAATATATGTCAAAAACAGTGATTACATCAACCCTTTATCCTGCATTCATATTCTTTTCTTTTTTTTTCATTCACTGAAAATATTTTTATTTATTTTCTAGTTTCAATCTTTTAAGATGACAATATGTTGTACATACATCGATATTATTTAGTAAATTATTGATTAAAAAACTTTGATATTTAAGTTGAAATTACTGAACAATTTTAATATCTAAGTAATAATACTTCATGGAAAACTCTTAGTATGTCATAAGAATTTCCATTGTATTAGACTAGTGTAATGTTTTAAAAGAATTGAATTTTACTTTACTTTTTTAAATACCCAAACCACATTTTTTAATAGACCAGTGCAATTTATTTTTTTAAAGTTCTGTTTTTTGTCAGATTTAATCATTTCATTAATAGTAATTATTAAGCATATTTTAGCCCCTTGAGTTACGAAGGTCACAAATTTTTATTTAACAAGCAAATTTTAACATAATTGAATTAAGTAAAGAATAAAGTGAGCAAATTCCTCATTGAGTCTAATAATTAAAATTAGACATAAAATGATTTTGTGGTCACCAATAAAATCCAGAATACAGTTGTTTTTCAAAATCGAGTTGTTGTTGTTTTTTAATCTCAATTATGTAAAGTTTTCAAAAAGGTTTTTGTAATTTATTAATTTTGTGTTCTATGAATATATATCAAGAACTTTCAACATAGAAATATATTCATTGATGTACCTAGCTAAAATATGATTTTTTTTTTTTTAAAGTGCTTAAAAAGGTTGTAACTGTTAACTATAGATTATCTGTGTCATTTGCAAAAAAGTTCTTTTTTTTTCCTGTAATGGATTCTTGTAAGATTTAATGATTTAATTTTTTTTCTCAAATTAGTTGCCTAAGGGTGTTCATTGATTTGTAAAGGATTCTTTATTGTTTGGTAATCAAAATACAAATCTTAGCTCAAAAAATTATATGAAACATGTAGTTTGCAGAACTGTTTCAATAATATTTTTGGCATAAAAATTGATATCTTGATATCAAGTATTTGCATCTAAAATTTTCTGGGTTTTTCACTTTGTGTCAAAATTACCTCTGGTAAAATTTTAAAAATCATTCCACATTTACTTAAATACTAACGTTGAGCCCCTTAAAATAATCCAAACAGTTTTTTTCATTAATTGAAGGCTGATCCATTAAATGAAACATGTTTATCTTCCAAGAAACAGGAATACTATGAGTAATTTGTTAACCTTTCAGTATTTAGCTGAATTTTATTGAAAAAAGTTTTTTTTTTTTTTTTTTTTTTTTTTTTTTTTTTTAAAAACAGTTCTAAAAGTGTAATTTGAAAACTTATTGTTAATTTTTTTTAAAAAAGTGCTTCAATTCTTTTTTTAGATGCAAGTGCAAAAATATGTGTATTTTTAATATTATTTAGTTTTTTTTACATCCCAAAAATCATACATATAAAAAAAATAAACTATTCAATTACTGAAAATCTAATTCTAAAAATATCTCTAAATTGTAAAGTATTGTCTTTGAACCCAGCAGTTTGGGGCCTAAAGTAAATAAATTTTTTACAAAATAATCAACATAGACCAAAAAGCAAAATCAAAAAACTGAAACAGCATAGCATCTCTTTAAATCAATTGATATTTTATAGTGGTCCACTGTTATATTTGAGCACTGTTTTATTTCATCACTTGTCCCCATGCAAGTTATAATTCAGTTTTTTTTTAGTAAATTAAAGTGTGTGAATCCTACCTGGAATGAACCCTGAAAATTCGTGTTAAGATGGTAAGAGACTCTCAGTGAGTGAAAGCTTCATTTTTATTGCTGGCCAGCTCAAAAAATTACTGGTTACCTTTTTTTTTTTTTACTGCACTACATAATTATGAAAAAATGTGTATAAGACCTAATAAAAAATTACATAAGACCTAAAGAGGTAGGATTGGGAGTAAAAGGGAAAAGCAAACTCTCAATAAGAGGAACTTCTATTTTTATTACTGCACTCCAAATTAGTGATATTCTATCATTCAATCAGGTAAAAATTGAAAGGAAAAGTTAGCAAAAAGAAGAAGAAAATTATATTTACATGATACATCTGGTTTTTTTCTACTTTTTTATAACATTTTTGTTAATAATTAAAATTAATTCTTATTGATTGAAATATCACAATAGATATTTTTGATCTTTTCAGTGAAATCACAGATTAGTTCTTCTTCTGTAAATCTGAATTGTTTTGGATCTTACTTTCTAGCAATCAATGCTTCTTATTTCTTCTGCATTTGATTTACTATTTTGCTTTTATTTTTTCTAGAATATGAGTGTTCGAAGACAAGCCCAGATTTTTAAATGATGGCTGGAGTTACTGGCAAAGGTAGTATTCTTATAAAGGTTAAGATATTTACATAAAGTTTCTAAAAAAATTTCTCAATTAGTTTAGTTTCTCAATTACTCAAGAGATTTTATAAAGAATTTTTTGTTTTAAATAATAACCGTTTACTCATTATTGAAGAAAAATTTATTCATCTCTCTCAAGATTTTTATTAAGCTCACACGTGACTTGATTTCAGAAAAGAAAAAGTTAATAAATAAAATATAAAAAATGAATGTGAGAGACTTTTGATGTTGCCAGATGTAAATCCTAATATTTGTGTCAAAATTTTTAAAAATACAAGATTCTAGGGAGATAAAAACCGTTTCAAATTCGATCAGTTATTTAGTCTACAGGGGTTGGACAAAAATATGGAAACACTTCTAAACTAACTATGTTACAATATTTCTTTTAGCAACAAATGTTTTGGAAGATTTTACATGGCAAAACAGTAAGCATAATTTGAAAGATAATGCTTGTAGCTTTTAGAAATGATGTTCTTCTTACCCATGCAAATTTGTATGATCAAAATAAGATGAAGTTAATAACTTGTTTCTAGCTTTAATACCAGAAATTTTGAAATCATTCTATAGGATTGCAATATTTATTTAAGAATGATTTTAAAATTATAGTGGTCTTGAAAATAGAAAAAAAGCTTTTAACTTCCTATCCTTATTTTGTTCAGTGTAAATTTTGCATAGCTGAAAAAAAGACGCTGTTTCTAAAAGTTTCAAGCCTGATTTTTCAAATTGTGCTTGCAATTTTCCCACAGAAGCACTTTTAAAAAGACTGCTGCTAAAAAAAATTTTTTACGTAGAGTTAGTATAGAAATGTTTTCATATTTCTGCCCAAATTCCGTAGGTTATCATTATAGATAGTTAACAAGTAAAATTACTTTGCATTTATTTCTTCTTATTGTAGCACATGTTCTGTATTTTTTTTTTCAAGTACAGTTGAATATTTTTAAGATTCAAGTAGTAGTTCATTTTGTTGTGATTAACAAAATGCTCTTGCACGAAACTGTAATTATTATATAAACAAATGATTTTTTTTTAAATATCTTTTTTAAAAAAAATTATCGACTTTTAAGAATAATTAAAAATTTAAAGGCAACCACGAGGGTTGGTATGCGGAGCCTCCTAGCAATTAAAATGATACTGAAACACTTTGACAATAATGTAAAGTGTTGATAAATAATAATTACAACTAAAAAAAAATATATTGTTCATAAACTGAACTGAAATAGCCACTACCTATAATTATCTTAAAAAAAAAAAAATAATAATACTTGAATTTTGTTTTATTGGAAAATTGTTTGATTGTTCTTAAATTTTGTTTCATTGAGTTCGAATTGTAACAACCTTAAAAAAATCTTTAACTGGTTTTTAAGAAAGCTTTTACGTATACGTGATAATTATAAAATATTTTTGTTCAATTATATTTAAACTATCCGAAAATTTTGATTTTTGAAGTCTTTTAAATTAAAAAATAACTGTTGGGGGTTAAAAAGTTAATAACCTTAAAAAATTTTGAAGCTTAGGAAAATTATGGGGGGGGGGTATGTGCCCTCACCCCGACGTTATGTCTATGTTTGTATATTTCTGACATACTTATTCAATTTATTTTTGGACAGGCCCTCATTAACAGGCTTCATTGCTGTTGTAACATTTTAGGACCCACCTCCCCAAGTTCCTATTCCTAAATGGTATTTCCAGTTGTAAACTGGTTGTAGTGTGATTTAAGAAAATGGACCACAGTCGGAACAAACACACATACGAAAAATACACGTGTCACAACGGAAAAATAGTCCTAAAACTGATTTGAAGCAGCAATGTAACTATCAAACCACATTGTGGTAGCTGTGGACTACACATATTAAACAATGTAAAATTGATAAACTTAATATATGCTTTTTCTTTGTCAACTAAGCATTGTGCTGTAATTATATACAATTTCTACTTCAACGTAATTGTAGGTTGACATGTATTTTAGCATTCTAAATATATTACTGAGTAGGTTGTTAAAAATTTTGATTTTAGATCCTTGAAAGTCATTAAAAAGTCCTTTTTTCTTTTTTAAATTGAGTGGTTGAGTGAGAATTCTGTTCAGTAAGCATTGCACATAGCAGAATAATGGAGACTGTTTACAAAGTGGTGGATTACTCAGTTAGCCTACAACCTATCCATCCTGTTTTGAGAGTGGTTTGAAAAAAGGACTTGTCGTATGAAGATAATTTATTAAACTTTTAGAAATACTTTTTACTTCTTAAATGAGTTTGCACCTTTTAAAGTTTCATAAAATATTAGATTCAAATTCTTTATTTAAAGGTTCTGGCAAAGGTAGGACTAAGCCATGTTGTGCATGGTGTTCAGAAAAGAGAGAACTGAAGTATTGTCTGAATGTTGATCACCAAAAGAAGGATTTTTGTTCTGAAATGTGTCTACATGATTATAAGATTGCATTTTTAAAGGTAATTATCAATTCAAAGGTAATTATCAATTTCAAAGGCAATTAATTTAACAAGAAGTAGAAAATACTAGGAAACTTTTATGTATTTTTTTATTTGATTGAACTTAAAAACAATCTAATAATGAATTACTGTTGTACAGTGCACAAAAAAGGATCACCCTAAATAAATTTTGATCTAATGATCGAATATTCTCATTCTAGGCTCCAGGGGGTGATCTCGAATATGCGAATTGATAAGTGCAGACATTATTTTATGTTACGAAATCAGACATAAAAACTTACTTTCTCTCAGTAAACATACCTTTTTTTTTACGGATCCGGATTTCTTACCCCCAGAATATAGGGGTAGTCGCAATATGGGAAATATGGTCCCAATAGTTTGATCTGGAGAGTGCTCCAAAGTTTAGAGCTCTTATTGTTAATTTTGCATTTTGCATATTTCGCTATATCTCGAGAACTTTTTAAAATTGAAAATTTTTTGCCCACAATGATAAAATTCATTTATCCAAAGATAATTCCATGCAAGAAATAATTTAAGTAAATATTTATTATTTTATTTAACAATGGTGGAAAAAAAATTTAAATTTTAAGGAATACAGATTTTTGCCTCATTTTAAAGAATATAATTTTGCTAGGCAAAATACAAAATTAGAGCAAAATCGAACTAATTGTTCCTGAGAAATCGAATTTTAAATCTCAGACTTTTTGAAATTCAGTTTCTCAAGAACTATACGATCAATTTCGCTCAAATTTTGTATTTTGCCATTTAAAATTTAAATCTTTAAAATTATGAAAAAAATTTATTACATTACCTTACAATTCAAAATTTTTTTGACCATTATTAAATAAAATAATAAATATTTACTAAAAGTTATTTTTTACGTGGAATTATCTTAAGATAAAAAAAATTTATAATTGTATGCAAAAAATTTTCAATTTGCTTAAAACATTCTCAAGATACAGGGAAGTACCCTAGAAGTAAAATTAACATTAAGGGGTCCAAACTTTGGAGCGCTATCCAGACCAAACTATTGGGACCATGTTTCCCAGATTATTGCTACTCCTTATATTTTGGCGATCAGAAATCTGAATCAACCGGAAAAAAAGTTTTGTTTATTCAGCGAAAGTACATTTTTGTGTGTGATTTTGTAACTTAAAATATTGTCTGCACCTATTAGTTAGCATATTTGAGGTCACCCCCTCGACCCATTAAGAGTAAGTCCTAGAACGTAAAGATCCGATCATTACATAAAAGTCCTTTTTTTTTCGACGCACAGTACATTTGCTTTGTAAATTTTAACAAAAAATATCAAATTAACATCAATAAATTTATTATTTCCTGGTAATTTTAATTTTTTCAATTCAAATTTATGTTGCCATACCATTATTCTGAAATGCATTCATATTTTTTGACCTATTGCTCTTTTTATTATATATATATATTTTCTCTTGTAAAAAGTTAAAAATAAAAACAGAATTCTCGCTGGGCTGTTTTTTTTCATGAATTTTTCTGTGGTTCTTGCCACTGTGGAAGTAACTTGTCATTTCTGGAACAAACCATTAAAAATGCATGTTAAAAACACTTTTTAGGAGAAATTTTTTCCTGTATAGAAACAAGATTTATGTGTATTTTTTACTGCTTTTTTTGAGAAAAAAAAAGGAAAAAAACTTATTTCTTTCTGATGACAGAACTTTAAAACATTTTCATTTTGTCACTGAAGTGAAATGCTTGGTATATATGGCCGAAATAATTTGAAACTTCTTTAACTTAGAGCCATTTTTGGGGCAGGATTGTTTTAAGTTAAAGATGTGGTTTACAAGTTGCATAGCACTTAGTGTATTTTAATTTATTGATTAATTTATGCACAGATATTAGTTTGTTTTATGTTTTAAATTAAATGAGTATTCCAGGTAACTTGTGCTTTCTGTGAGAGTGAAATCACTAAACATCCTGTTGTGATAACAGAACCTACAATCAAGGATTTTTGCAATCAAGCTTGTCTTCAAAAGCATTCTGCTAAAGAGTTAAGCTCTCAGCTTGAAAAACAGAAAACTAAGCAAAATAGTATAATTCAGCATAACTATGAAGTTACAGGTATATTATATTTTGTAAAAAAATAGTTTTAAAGACAATTTCTGAAAAAAATAAGTTGATATCATAACATTGTATTCTGCATGTGTTTATATTAAGAAGTTTTGAGTAAATGAGATTAAAACTATGAGTTATTCTGGGCAAAAGAACTGGTCTTGCTGTTAATTGTTTTGGAGTCTAAAAAATTTTAAATTTTGCATGCTTTAATGAATGATAACTTTTGATACTTACAATTTTATTAAAATTGGTGATGCTCCTGTTTTAGCTTTATTGCAAAATTACAGCATGATTATCTAGACTATATAAGAATACCAAACAATTTCTACAAAAATTAATTTAAAACAGAGGTTCTATGAATATTTAAATTATTCTTCCCAACATTTCTGATTGTTCTATTTCCTTTTTTGTGGTATTTTGTACAAGAAAATACTCCGCGCTGTTAAAGGGAAATTTCTCATGGCTGTCTATAAGAAAAAAATTTCTTTTAACTCTTGATTGTTTCCTTGTCAGAATTGTAAAATTTGTTGCATTATCTATTTCAATTTTTGCCACTTAACAGAAGTTTTTTGCAAACCACTGCATTTCAATTTTAATATTTTCTTACTGGCTTACAAAATATATGGAATGCTAATGCCTCTGATGATGAATGATTAGCCTCTGTACCAGTGTGCAGGTGTTGATGTTACCTTGTTATTCTTTAAATAAGTGATAAGTTGTTTTCTTTATTATCTAAGTGCATCGGCTATTCTTTCCACCTGAAAAACTCATCTATTACTAAAGGGAAGGAAGGAGACAAAAACATTATTTCAGAAGAATACCTATTACTGTAATCCAAATTTTAAAATAAAATCACAATACTTAAGACATCCCAAATTTTGGATCAAAAATTTTGAGCTCAATCTCCTTAATTTTTTTTTATTTTTAAATAAGATTAATAATCTAGGAAATAGAGGATTTTACCAAGAAAAATTGGCAGGAGTTATTACTTTTTGTATGTTTATGCATTTTGGGGTACTGAAGTTCTTTGCATATAACCTCTTTTTGGTTTAAGATTTAAAACAAATTCTGATGGCATATTTGAAAATTCAAGAAAATGTTTTACAAGTTATCTATCTATGCCAGAGATCCCTAACCTCTTTGTACCTAAGAGCAAATACCAGAATATCGATTGAATGGCGGGCACCATTTATTTTTTCAAGATAAATTTATAGTTGGTAGACATAGGTAATAATACCAGGGCTGATTGTGCTCCGGAAAAAATCCTGATTTTTCGCTAACAGTGATCCGGAAGTTTCCGGAGATTGAAGGTTGAGACGTTTAAAAAAATCCTTGATCACAAAAGTTTCCTGAAATCAAATTTTCAAAGGTGGAACTGAAAAACACAGTTTATTTTATTTGTTTGTAAGGGAGAGCCAGAAAGATACTTTATAAGCTTATATTCAAGATTAATAATCATTTTCTATCAGTTAAAAAAAAAGACATATCTCAAAAAAGAAAGACATATTTGTAAATTTCAATTACTTCTCCAGGTCATCATAGGTATGTGTAAAATTTTAAATATATTTTAAGTAAACTGAGAAATATTGAGAAAAAGGAAAAAATCTTGTTTAAATTTTTTTCGATTTAAACTCTTTTTTTTTTTTTTACTCAAGAAATTTTCCGGAATTTTGACTTGGGCTCGCAATCACCCCTGTAATACACACTACATATAATACACAAAAAATTTAATTTTAAAAATTAATTTAACATATGAATATAATTAGTATTAATATTATTGTGTAAAATCAATGATTACTAAATTGTTTGCGAAACATATGAAGTGTAAAGATTATTTTTAAAATGCAGTCAATGTGATCTTTGGCATTGCATTTCACTGGCCAGCGCCTCATAATTGGGAGAATATGCTGAAATTCCTGCTGGAAAAGCAATCGTCAAGGTGTTCATCTGTAACTGGTGATCTATATTTTGATTTTATGATTTTCATTGTCAAAAACAATGATTCACACAAGTATGTGGAACCAAAAAGTGACTTTATTTTATATGCTGTTCTTTTTAAGAATGGAAATTTATTTCTCTTAACTAATTTAAGAATTTCTCATCTGATATAATAGTTTTGAGGATAATGTCATTCTGAAGATCCGAGATTTCATTTTCAAATCTGATATCCACAAAACTAGCTTAGCTCTGATTGAGTTTATAGCTCCTATCATTCTTGCTATATGTTTGTCCTTTCCTGCTGCTCCAAGTTTAAATTATTTAGTTTTTCCATTATGTCTGTTACAAAAGACAAAGCTGCTAGCCAAAGAGGAAAATGTTTTATTTTTGGCTGCAAGATAATTTTTTATTTCTTCAATTAAATGTATAAATCTATCAAGTACTCTGCTTTTACTAAGCCAGCGCATGTAAAATGGGGTCAGCATCACCATCATTTTGTAACAGGGCCTTGAGAAGTTGATGTTGCAAAGGAGCTGCTTGAATTAAGTTGACTATTTAATAATTTTCATTATGTATCCAAATAGTAGTACTTTAACGCACATAGCTTCCTGGTGGATAATGCAGTGATAGACATAAAATCTGGAAATGACCCATATTTTATCCAGAGAGCAATAAAACCATTCACGTTTCTCACCATTGCTGGTGCCCCATCAGTGGCTATCGCAGACAGTTTCTGGAGATGCATATTCATCAAACTTGCTTATGTTATAAATAGTTTATAAATATCCTCACCTGTTGACCGTCCCTTCATGGACAATCTTTTTAGTAGCTCTTTTTTTACTGTAAAATCAATAAATACCATTCTCACCACAGCTGCTAACTACGCTGTGTCTGCTTAGACTCGTCAAATTGTAGTGAGAACCTCTCACATATATATCCAAATCACTTTTCAACTGCATTTGCATATCTTTTAAAAAGGCTCTTATTCTTCTTGTAACAGTATTATCTGATAACTATAAATCTTGTACTGCTGACACGATATCACGTTTGTTGGAAAATCCCTCAAATAAGCAATCAGCACCAGTAAGAAATGCGTCTTTTAGCAACTCACCATCCTAGAAAGGCTTTTTCTTCTTTGCGAGCATATGAGAAATTTTTAAAGAAGCAATAGTGGCATTTTTAGATTTAATCTTAGTACTTGTGAAAAGTGACTGTTGAACCGAAAGATTTTATTTTAACTGCTCTATTTTCTTTTTTCGAATTACACATTTTAGTGGATAGCTCGTATTAAAAGTAGAATGAACTGTTTGGAAATGACGTTGAACATTATGTTTTTTCGGCACCGCAACACTATTTCCACGTAACAAGCAAACATATTTACCTTTTGAATGACGAAGCAATATGATTTCTTCCCATTCAGAATTAAAATTATAGGTACACTGTCTTCTGCTTGATCCACAACTTTTAGTGTGAACAAAGGAAGTATTTAGAAATAATAAGGAAGTAAACGCTGTATACAAAAAGTATGAACACTAAAACCATGAATCGAAAAAGAAGTAGAAAAACGAATAAACGTTATTTCAATGAAATTTTCCCGACACGAGTTTCAGCAAAATGCCTTTGTAGTACAGTAACCATAAAAATGGACCGATTTATTTAATTTCAGGTGTGAGAAATTAGTGTGACGAAGACTAGGCGTGAGTGGAAAATATGTCAGCTATATTTTGCTTTGTGCTTTGCTTATATCTGTGGGGATGGAGGTCGTTTTCCTGGCGATTTCCATTCTGGTTGTGTTTATCATCAATATTAAAAAAGCAAAAAAAATGCATAGCATTTTATGGAAAACTGAAATATTTCATCGTGGGGCACAAGCAGCGAGCGCACCTAGGCAGATCGACGGGCGTCATGGTGCCTGCGGGCATAGGGTTGGAAACCCCTGTTCTACGCTACGTCTTTTGGGCAATAAACTAAAGAATTGTGATATGGGAATAATGTCTCTCTCGGTACTTCAACTGAAAAAATGGAAAAGAATAATCAATAGAAGCTTGAAATTTATTTAAATCCCTCTCTTTTTCTCAATTATTATAATTTTTCCTAAACTTTCTCCGAATCTTAATTTTTAGGATCTTTTCTATTTTTGATTTTTTGCCTATCTTCTTAAATTTTTACTCAATTTTGCCTTCCAACAACTCGAGTTTTCCCACCCCCCTCAGCAGTTTATTCCAAATCCCTTAAAAGAGGGTTTACCCCTTCCAAATGACAAGAATGCTATTAAAGTTTGGAACGTGAGTTTTTTCCTTTATATTTATTCTAAATAACAAATATAGCATCCTTTTCCTGGAGTGCCCTATCCCTTAATTAAAAAATTTCTAGGGGAATTTTTTGTTTAATATTTAATGGTATTTTTTGAATTTTAAGGCAATCAAAATTCATAAAATTACTGTTAGCATTTCAAAGTGAATCAAAAACTTACGTAAAATAGGAACAGCAATTTAACATTGTAAAAAAATTTTATGTTTTCAAGGACATTCAAGTTAAAATATATGCCTGAAATCTTGCTATTTTGTAAAGCATCAATTATTCTTGTCAGAACATTCATTGTATGTGAAATCAATGCAAAATGCAGTGAGTTATTAAGTACACCCCTCCCTGTCTCTTTCTCTTCTTTTCATTCATTTTTTTTTCTTTTTTTGTATAGAAAATCAGGAGTAATATGGAGAATAAAAACAGTACGAAAGAGAAATGGTAAAAATAAAATATTATAATCTAAATTAATTTGTATATGATATACAGAATTTAACTCATTTATAGTTCCGTTGTTTGGCAGCAATGAGTACTTAAAATTTTGATTTAGTGACTCAGAGAGTATAGTTTTGTTTTTTCATTAGAAACCTTGAATTATGGATTTTATTTTTTTGATAAATTAAAATCTTAGTTACATGATTATTATTAAATTGAAAAATAACAGCCACTCGCCCTAAGAAAATACAACTCAAAGTGTAATTAATCATAGAGGAAACACTGTTAAAGAATCGTCAACTTAGTACTTAACCTGCTAAATAAAACTA